GATATTAAGAGACTGGTTATAGAATTAGCATTACTGCTAATAAACTATAAGCTTGATCAGGATTTGAATACAAAATAGATGTGAAAATAAATAGTAATATATGCATAATTAATAATCTATTGTATATGGTTGAGTATTTTGAGAATCTAAAGTTTATTCAATTACATTTACCCAAATGGTAATTCGAAATAGGCCTCATATATCAAGATCAATAGAATAATGCCATGAAGTATTCTGCCAATCAATTAGTACAATGAATCATCACTTTGATTTAAAATAGCCATTGGAATTATCAATAATTGTGCAAAACAATTATAATAAGTAAAATGTTTTCTTAATGATTACTCATTGAATTCAAAATTAATGAAGTAGACATTTGAAATCAATAATGATCCTGTAGATATACAAAGTATTATCACTGAAATCACTATTAGAAATAGGTCACTTTGACTTAAAAAATTCCAACCTATGTAATGCATCTGAGGCAAGTAAAAAAACCAATTGAAATACAGGAAATAACAATTCACCAACTTTGTGGCAGACTTAATTTAAGTTTGCTTATACCTGCGATAATGATTTGGAAATGACTGAAACTTTTGAATGTTCAATTGTTAATTTTCTATGCAATATTATTAGATAGGGTAAACAGTTTAGTATGGTAAGCAATACACCAGTGAGAACATTGACTGCATAGATATTTTAAAACAAAGGAGTCAGAACACATATTTCTGATATGTTTTTAATCAATCTGAAAACATTTTCATCATACTATNGAGCATTATTTCTATATTTATTAATAAATGTAAGGAATTTAAGACTATAAATTTCTAAATTCTTAGAATCATTTCTATGTTTTTCAAAACCAATTCTAAATAAACAAGATGTTAAAATGACTGCATCTTCTTATTTCAAAACACCTCCAGCTCCTATTTTTTTACATTAACATTTAACTGATTAACAACGATTCAAATGTAAACTAAATTTTTAAATTAATTCAATAATTCTTTTTTTACTTTTTTAAGCAGCCTATATTAAATCAAAGAAATCTTCAATTATTAATAATTCATAATATTAATTTAAAGTATTATGATATGTTTTTAATCTTTTATGTTATATTAATGTTTAAAAGAGATATTAAGAGACTGGTTATAGAATTAGCATTACTGCTAATAAACTATAAGCTTGATCAGGATTTGAATACAAAATAGATGTGAAAATAAATAGTAATATATGCATAATTAATAATCTATTGTATATGGTTGAGTATTTTGAGAATCTAAAGTTTATTCAATTACATTTACCCAAATGGTAATTCGAAATAGGCCTCATATATCAAGATCAATAGAATAATGCCATGAAGTATTCTGCCAATCAATTAGTACAATGAATCATCACTTTGATTTAAAATAGCCATTGGAATTATCAATAATTGTGCAAAACAATTATAATAAGTAAAATGTTTTCTTAATGATTACTCATTGAATTCAAAATTAATGAAGTAGACATTTGAAATCAATAATGATCCTGTAGATATACAAAGTATTATCACTGAAATCACTATTAGAAATAGGTCACTTTGACTTAAAAAATTCCAACCTATGTAATGCATCTGAGGCAAGTAAAAAAACCAATTGAAATACAGGAAATAACAATTCACCAACTTTGTGGCAGACTTAATTTAAGTTTGCTTATACCTGCGATAATGATTTGGAAATGACTGAAACTTTTGAATGTTCAATTGTTAATTTTCTATGCAATATTATTAGATAGGGTAAACAGTTTAGTATGGTAAGCAATACACCAGTGAGAACATTGACTGCATAGATATTTTAAAACAAAGGAGTCAGAACACATATTTCTGATATGTTTTTAATCAATCTGAAAACATTTTCATCATACTATTGTGTGATGAAGTGAGTAAGTTATAAATAGTAGATCAGAATTTCAAAGGTTATGAATTTGACACTATTTAATGATGGTGACAAATTAGTCTAAATTATCAGATTCATATAGTCTCTAATCCATTGCATAATTAATTAAATAATATATTTATTTCTTTGATATTGATTGCCTCTCTCTTTTACTCTTAAGATTCCTTAATCACAAATATAGATGATCATTATATCTATAGCAATTGTGTTGAATCTCAATGAAAATAGTTAATGAAATACAAAGGATAATATTATAAACAATCATCATTTACAAGTAATTTTAATGTAAACAAGGAATACATATTTTAATTATTCTAAAAGTATCTTTTAGTTTTATTATTGCTTGTGACATTTCTAATTTTTCGATAAGATATTCATATCTTTTAAATATTTCTAGCTTTATGTTTTTTAGGAATATGCTTTAAAATTTTCTTAATTTTATAATAAAAAGATTAATTGGTAATAGGTCTATTTTTACGAATTTTAGCACAATTTGTTAATAAAATAAATGTTAGAAATATTTAAAGTATTTTTTATAAGATGTCTATATTTTTAATTAAGAGAATATTGCTCCAATCTAAAAAACGATTTATTATAAACTACTGACTCATTATTTAATCCTATATCTTTTTATATTTTTCAATCTAGTCGGCTATTGAATTAATAATTAAGAGTTATTAAGATGATTTTGAAGTATATAGAACAAAAAATTGTTTTAAATTCTTATATTTTATTTATACTTTCTTTTTTTTGTAATGATCTAATCATTTGTTGAATATCATACAAATTTATAGTTTCTGTTTAATTAATTTAAAACAATTTATTTATTGAAATGTAGAATATAGTTAATATACATTTATATCAAAATCATCAATTTATAGAATTATTAAACGATGATGAAAAAAATTGCAAATTAATTGATGATGATGATAAAATACTAATATGCATCTAATGAGTTATTTATTACAAAAAGATTATATTTGGATCAGTTTACTAATTATATTTACTTATTTAATTATACTTTAAAATTAAAATTTATATATAAATCATCATTCATTAAGTTTTTATAAATCATTTAAATTACAATATTAGATATATTGCTGTAATTAAATATTTGTTCTCAATTGTTAAATAGTATTCAGATAACTAAATATTATGTTTATTATTTTTGATAACGAAGATTAATTATTTATTTTGTATTTTTATATTCCCTAGAATATAAGAATTTTTAATGTTTTCTCTTACTCTTATTTTTTATTACCTTATTTTTAGTAGATAATAGTTAATTAATTAGTATTTTAGACTAGAAGGAATTCAGAATTAGTAGGTTATTGATTTTAGAGTTTACAATCATAAGAAAATATGTTTACAATCAAATTTTGTATGTAGTTAGTTAAATTCATACATTTTTAAATTTTAGACTTACAATATAATTGAGAGTCATATTGTTCTATCTTTGTTTAGAAAAATTATCCCTTATTATTTTACGAGATATTATTTTTTAGCAATAGAATGTCTAAGAATATATATATTTCTAAATATTTAAGTTTTATATAAGGAAGTAATTTTTTTCATTATCTAACCTATCTTTATTTAATTATTTTTATTTTATTAAAGATGTTGAACTCTTAAAAAAAGATAAACAAGTATTTTACAATTTTATTTACTATGAGTTTGAACTTTATATTCATTCTAATATTAAATTCAAATATACAATTTCTAAGACATTAGCTTTATTTTTTATTTAATAGCTTAATGGTTAACTAGAGCCTTTAAATTATTAGTTTAACTATCTCCAGTAAATCATATAGGTTGATTGAAAAAGTTGGACTCTTTTTTAAAAATACTTAATTCTGCAATATTATTTCAAACTTTATTCAGGTTTGAGAATATGAACTTTTATATATTTATGTAATTTAATAAATATAGATTGTTGATAATTATTAGATTGATCTAATGAAGTAAGTAAAAAAGAAACAAAAATAAAAAAGTTCTTTAGATCAAAGATTTATTGAATTTTATATTTAAGTCAGAATCCTTAGCGAACACTATTTTGTAACATTTAATAGCGCCATAATTAATATTGTATTGATTATTTCCACCCTTTAAGAATCTAGCTTTATATTATTGAATTATCAAGACGAATTTTTCAAAAAAGGAATCAATTTTTTTACTTTTATTAGAGAAATTTCTTTAGCGTCTCGAATAAAATTAAGTTCAAATGAGGAATTTATATAATTGAGTTATTTGATACCCTTATGTATTACATTACTTTATCAGATTATACTGATATATTTGTTTATCATTTATTTAGGAAAAAACAAAAAACAGCATAGATTAAGTGAATTTTTAAAAACTTAATATAGATTAATTTAAATAGTTTTAAGAATTTTCTCATATTTCCATTCATTGATGTATTATATTACAATTATTCCTATGACAGAATTAACATTAAGTTCCTTATTCTATAATACAAAAAGTTCATCTATAAATATGATTAATTTATCATTTTCAATAATAACACTTATTTTGGTGATTGGTAATTATTTGATTCAATTGTTTTGTAATTTAGAATCAATTTCTATTACTCCTCAAAATTTATAATTATTATAAGTTACATTTAGTAATTATTGGAAATCCTTATTGAATCTAATAATTGTTGTTATTGATTAAATGGATAGTTCTAATTTAACTAAATTTTATCTAATTTTCAGCTTAATATTAGTCAAACAATTTAGTAATTTTTGGGCTTTGATATAAAGTTATCCCAATTTACATCATCGATAAAAGATTGAAGTATAATGCAATGTTTTTTAAATAACACTAGCCATTATATTATTCATTAATCAAGTTTCTAAATAAGAATAAGATAAATATGATGTGTTATTAATATTATTAATCACACCAATTTTAAATGAAATCATTTATAATTATCAAATTAAAATGCATGAATCTTTAATGGTAACGAATAGTTCTAAAATTACAGCTGATATGTTATAATATAAAATTGGTAATATTATTTATGAATATGGTAAATTATAATCAAATTACTTGTAAGATACTAAAAAAATGACATATATCCATCATTTTAAATAAACTCATTTGGATGAATGTGAAGATTCTAAATGTTTATGTAAAAGATAAATAATTTCATTTGAAGATGCAATAGGATTATTTCTTAAAGATTAAGTTAAGAATTTTGATGCAATAATTTCAAGAACAAAAGATGAATCTGCTCGTTAATCATATTTCTTACATTATTTATCTCTTATTAATTATTTAGGATTGAATACAAAAGCTTTTTAATAATCAAATTTCTTAGCTTAACTTGATAGTGAATAGATTTAATTTAGTTCATCTGCTACTCATGGTGTAAACTATAAATTTAATCATCAAAAAAGTGATAGAAAAGAATTAAATAATAGTTCTGATGGTAAAAGTCATTCTCTTTAGAAATCTAAAATAGGAGGTGATAAAAATGAATAAAGTACTATACATATAAGATTAAATAATATGGCATTTATTACAAAATAAAAACTCAATTTAATTTAAGAATAAATTAAATAATCTATGAGTATGGGATTTTCTAAGTAATCTGCTTAATTTTCTGAAAATTTAGAACATGCTGTTAAATTATTTCTCCAATCTGAAGAGAATAATAAAAAATTAAGAAAGAAAGTAGTTAAAATGTTAAATAGAAAAAGGGAATTCTTCAATAATTTAAATTAATTGAGTAATGATGTTATTGTTTTTTAAGCAGGTAAAAAATTACTTATTGAAATGAATGAACTTGAAGAATAATTATATAAATTATATGATTAATTTCCAAGTTAAAAAATGTAAGCATTAAATACATTTTATTAATCTGAAATTATGAATAATTATTTTTCTGCTTATAAAATAGCAACCATAGCATCAATATCAGATGAAAAATTATTAAAAATGTAATCTTAAACAAATTTTGATTTATTTTCTAATAAAATTGATTATCTAATCATAGGATTTGATTAATAATCACATAAATTATCAATTAGAAGTGGTTCAAATATGATTCATTAATTTTTTGGTTTATCATAAGATTAATTTAAAATGATATACTAAATCAATTCAATACTACCTTAAGGATTTGAAATAATACATGAAAAATTAGTTGCTAATTTTCTATAACATGGAGTATCAAAATATTTCAGATAAATAAATTTGAATTTTTGTCAATATCAATAAAGATTTATAAAAACAATAGATTTTTTCTATGACATTAATTTTATGAATTTAGATGATTTAACATTTGCTTGTTTTCTTTAAAATGTTGAAACTCAAAGTGCTTATTTATTTTCATTATCTAATCATAAAATATCTGGAATTTCAAAAAACTTTATCAATAAATTGGGTTATAACAATAAATTCAATAAAGAATTAGCTTAATCTTTTTAAAAAGTTCCATTAAGTAAGGTTTTTCCTAAAATATCCTTAATACTTGAAGCTAATATTACTAGAGCATCTGATATTAATTAAGATATAATTGATACAACTTAAATTAGTGAATATTCTTTGAAAATGTATATTCCATCAACTTTGATTTTGGGAAACAACTCAAAAATAAATTGGGATAACTAAGATCATTTAACTAGTTATTAAGTGGATTGCATTTTACATATCAGAAATTTTAAAAGTGAATTGAATTATATAATAATTGAGATCAAAGAAATAAAAAAATAATCAAAATCAGAAAATACAATTCCTGAACCATAAATGACATTAGGATATAATTCAAATTAAGATTTTGAAAGTTTAAATGCTTTTGATTTTGAATAGGATGATACAGAATTTGCAGTAAATATGCCTAAAGCAATAGAACTTTATGGATTGGAAGATTAATCTGGAAATCTTGATAATTTAGATAATTTAGATTAATTTGAATATAATGTAAATAAATTAAGAGTTAATGAAAAAAACATGAATTAATCTTATTAATAACCTTATTAAAATTAATCTATGATGAGTCCTAAAGATAGTGGATTAAGATTGATAGAAAACAAAAACCCAGATTTTAATGTAACATCAATATAAAATAAACAGTATATTAATAAATAATAATTCTTTAAATCAGATGAATAAATTGAATAAGAAGAATAGTTTTCATCATTTCAATAAAGTAGTGAAATTAAAAAATAACAAATTATGGATAATTAAATTGATAAACTTTAATATGATGATATAGATTAGGAATTATAAGAAAATATTAGAATGCAAATGTAAATGGACTCTAAAGAATAACGTATAGTTCACATTGATGATATTGGATCATAAGTAAGTTCAATTGCAGGATTTAAGAAATCAAAATATTCAAAAAAATATGATTTAATTGAAAAATTGATTAATTCAACTAAATTTTCCAAAAAATTTAAAGCAATGTTAGTATTTTTAACAATCATGTTAAGTCTATTTTTAGTTTATAGTGGGATTATGCTCTATTATTCTAATGATGATTTGAATAGATTTTTAGAGGAGTTAGATTTAATTTAAATAAAATCTAATATTATTGGACCAGTCAATAAATATATAGTTTCTTAGAATGCATTAACAACATATATTATACTAATGTTAATATATCCTAATATAACTATGGCAAGTTAAATAGAAAAAATGTAGTATTCAATTAGAGATATAAATTATACATACTTTGAACTCAAAGATAGTTTTACAAAATAATTATCAAATCCTTATTTGAATCCTTTTTTTGAGAATAAATATTTCAATATTACGGTTGGAAAATATCCAGATACAATGAATTATACAATATCAGCAAGAGAATCCATGTATTTATATTTAGAGGCCTGCTATAATTTCATAAATATTGATTATCTTAATCTAATTAATTTAGATTTAACTTAAGGGTTTTTAGTATTTTTATATGCAAATTATTAAACATTTGTAGAATAATTATAATTATTAAATGAAGAGATGGTAAGTTATTCAATAACTAGATCAAGTACTGTATCTGAAAAATGGAATTATCTTTTGATCCCAATAGTATTAGTTTGTTTGTTATTATTACTTATAGTCTTTTCATTTTATAAAGCATATCTAAATTAATATAATAGTTTTCTTTAACTCTTTAACTTTATTGATATAGTATGGTTGTAAAGAGATATAGATAGATATAGAGGAATAGCCTCTTTATTAATAAAAGATTCTGATGTTTTATTTAAATATTAATTTGATATTGATATAAAGGAAAAGTTTTTAGCAGCAGAAGATATAAGAAAAGAGAAAATAGCTTAGAATTAAAAAAATAATAGATAAAAACAAAAAGGTTAAATTACTAATTTAAATTAAAAGATGTCAATATTGCCATCAATGTTTTTATTTATATTTTTATTTGGAATTTGTTTTATTTTTTGTTTTATTACAAATTCTTTAGGAAGAAATTACTTTTAGAAGTATCCAGATACAACCACTTTTTTTAACTCCTTATCTAATTTGTGTATTGCTGTCAGTGGAGTTTTTTCGATGAGAGAAGTTATATATTATTAAAAGTTTCCATTATAAACTATCTTTTACTTTTTTCCAGATAAAAATGCTACATTTTTTGTTCAAAATTTCCATAATTAAATAGATATCATCAACAATTTCTTATCTCTTATTGCTTAGATGGATACATCTAAATATATAACATCTGATGATTTCATTTCAGAAATGAATCTAATGATGAGCACAGATGTATGTTAATTTTTACCAGAAGTAATTTTTTTACATTATTATTACAAGAACAAAATCGAGATGGCTTAAAGTCATTGTGATGCTGTATATTAAGGAGTTGTGAGGAAAGGATTCTAGGCTGCTGGTACAACTATAAGAAATAGTTTACTTAATGAATATGATTAAACAAATGGATTTGCACTTAAAGTATATACAACATAAGAAGAACTTGAGGCTGGTTTGATATTGTATGATACCATATCAGTTTTGAAACAGAAATTTCAAAATTAGTTGAAGAATTCAACTGATGAATTGATTTCACAAATATTGGTAAATTATCAATTAACTTTTTTAGATAATAAATTTAATATTCATCATTTTGGTTGTGTTAATCATTGTATTAGTTTTCACAAAAATATTGTCATATTTTAAATGGGAATTCAATTTGATGAAACGATTTTTATTGTTGCTCCCTCAATAATCATTATTTTTGGATAATTAATTAGATAGGACTATTAGATAAATGGTTGTGAAGGATGATTTAACTTGAGAAATTAAGTATATTATTGGATTAATAATAATTAAAAATTGTAAAACAAATATATTCTAAATATATATGATGAACGTTCAACAGTATCAAAATTACTTCCCTTATGTGAATGAAGCACAAGTGTTATTCTAAGGGGATATTGAATAAGCAAGTATGATAATATTCTAATAAATTCAGAATAGAGCTAAGGTTCAAATTATAATGAGTTTAACTTATTTCAGTAGAATTTTTATCCACCAACTTTTCCTCCTTATTAATTTGAGTTCGTATAAGAACATGAAATTCCAAGCCAAATAAAAAATAAAAAAAATAAAAAACATAAGTAATTGAATTTAATTTCATTGAAAAAGGAATAACGATTCAAAGGGACTTTTACCTAAGACATTAGAATCAGATAAATAGTTTGTTGAGGATCAACAATAAATAATCATTCAACCAGATTAAATGTATAATAATTAATTATTATTTTAGTATTAAACAACCATATCCAGTGTTTCATTACACATAAGGCAGTCCATTACCTAAACTTCAATCAGACATTGTATCCAATCTGCATTAAGATGGCTAAGGTTCTTAAGAGGGTTCTTAATAGACATAAAAATAGAAAGGACAACATTCTCAAATTAAAAAGCCAAAGAAAGAAAATATAAATACTGGTCATTGGTCAACTGATGAACATACAACCTATATATCATTTTTATAGTAATATGAGGATATAATGACATCCTCAATGATGAAGAAGACATCAAAAATATTCAAATAAATGAGTGAACTAATTGGTACTAGAACACCAAGTTAGTGTAGAAGTCATCATTAGAAATTTAATCCATATGCATTGAGAGGAGAAAATGGAAAACGTTTACCTCGAGCTGAAAGAAGTAGAGCAGGTCGAAAAAAGAAGAATCCTCAAACAGACTTACCTAAAGCAGGTAATAATTAATATTAAATATTTTTAAAGAAGAGGCAAATATAATTGCCAATTATGAAGCACATGATCCTTATTACTACATGATGTTAGAACAATAAAAATATTATTATTCTAATATTTAATAAGAATATTGGAATCCATAACATGAAATGGAACCACATCCAAGTATAAAAAAGGAAGAAGACAATGACTTCATTAATAATCCTCATCTTTAATAACTTCAATAAGAATATGAAGAATGTTTAAAATACAATCTACCTTATATTTAAAGAAATGGAATTCAATCAGAATATAATTTCGATGCTAGAAACCAAGCTATAAACGATTTATTAATATGATTATTATGTATAATAAATTCAAATCAATTAAATTTTTAACTCTGATATTTGATGTCTATTATCTACTTTGTATTTTAAAAACAACATTATTATTATAATATATATATATATATATATCAATTAAAATCTCATTTTAACATCAAATGTTAAATTCTAATACTCATAAATAAAGAAAAAGATTTCAAGAGAACAGGTCTCGCTACCTGAACTAAGCCAAGCCAGATGAAAGTGTTTCATCAAATACTGACTTAGAATCTTAACAACCAGATATTAGAGTAAGATTGGAAAGACCTTCAAAAAAGAAAGTGTCTGTGAAGATTCGAAACTTAGACATCGATAGTGACATTATCAAAGAGGAGGATAGTGAAGACTATATTAGTGAAAAATAATCTTAAGACAATATTAATCACCAAGAATCTAATGCTGTTCTGAATTTTATTCTCGAAGAAGAAATAGAGAGTCCTTTTAAAAGTAGAAATAATTAAAACAAAGAAATTCTTTGGAATTCTAGTAACTAAGAGTATAGTTAATAAGTGGAGGTGTAATTATTTAATACACCAAAACAACATTAAAAAGTAGACTCACCATAGATTGAAAGTGCAATTAAATCTTATAAAAATCTTAATACTATAAAAAGTATTTACTCTCCAGTGTAAGGAACTCAAAAGCATAAAATCAATGACAATACTATCTATTAGCACTTTAATTTTTTTTAGAGATTATTCCTTTATCATATTTTTTGTTACATGAAACAAATGAAACAAATTATTGAGTCATCTACTTAAAAAATCAGTGTAGCACATTTACCTAAACAAGCCTACGTAGATTCTATATAATATAATTTAACAAAAGTATATGAATAGATAAAAAACAATGTAAAAAGATTTTAAATTATTTAGGATGTTTTTAATTTTAATAATAGAGCTCTCTTTAAATTGTTTTTCTGGTAGGATAATAAGTATATTACTATTATTATAGTAATACTTGCTATGTTTGAGACTTATTCAAGGTTTGTTATGGCAATTTTAACAGAAACATTAATTTCAGCAGTGACAGAAAATGATATGAGAAGTGCATATTTATAGGCTACAGCTCTAGCAATTCTTTCATTACTTGCTTTGATGAGTAAGCATTAACAATAGTATAAAATTTAATCATTATTTAGATATTTGATAAGTAACTTTGCTACTAAAATTAGGATGATTTTTATTAATTTAATTTATGATAGAGTGATTGAATTAAATTCAACTTAAATATCAATGTTAAATGTAGGAAAAATAATGAATCTTGTGAGTAGTGATTTAAATGTGATAGAATATTAATTAGCATTTATATATTAAGTAGCTGTGATACCAGGATCATTATTATTTACTTCAATTATTTTATGGGTATGAAATTTGTAAATTTTAGTTAAGATTTGATGGTCCTTTAGGATTAGTTGCTATTTTATTTTGTGCCATTTTATATCCTTTATAAATATTGATTTAAAATATTAATAAGAAATTATTGCTTCAAACTCGAAAATTGTAAGATCAACGAATATAAGTATGATTTAAATCATATAAATTAGTAAACAAACACTGTTATTGAGGGAATTAAATATATTAAATTGTATGTATGGGAAAAGATATTTGAAGATAAGATCAATGTAATAAGAAGGAAAGAGTTTTTCTATTATTTAAATATACATATTTTAAATTTATTAGATCGTTCTTTTAACTTTAGTGTTCATATTTGGGGATCTTTTTGTTTTATTTTAATATTGTATGCCAGCAATACTCATTTAACTATTTCAACTATTATGGGAACTATCTAACTCATGTCAATGATTAAATATTATTGCATATTTCAAGTGTCTTATGCATTTTAAGCTATTATGAATTTTAGTGTAATATTTTCAAGAGTCTCTGAAATACTTAAATAATAATCCAATAACATCACAACAACTGAATAATTTAGAACTACTTTTACTACATATGATGTCTAAAATTAACCTATGCAATAATTATTAATTGATAGAAGTAGAGGACTCAATCGTAAAGGTAGTCTAAGTTTATAGTCTACAGCTCTTGTTACTATTAATCAATATTATGGGAAATGGTCAAAAGATGGTCCTTCTGTTATTAGTTCAATTAACTTAGATATCAAATCTGGTGAAATTATGGGAATTATAGGAAAGGTTGGAGCAGGTAAATCAACACTTTTAACAGCTATACTATAAGAATTACCATATTATGAAGGAAGTGTTATTTATTAAAAAAAGTTAAAACTTGCTTATGTTGAATAAGATCCTTTTATTTATACAGGATCTATCAAAGAGAATATTTTATTTGGAAAAGATTATGATTAAGTACTCTATCTGAAAGTATTGGAAGTGAGTTGTTTAGATTAAGATATCTTATCTTTTAGACAAGGGGATAAAACAGAAATTGGTGAAAAAGGAGCTAATCTATCAGGTGGTTAAAAGGCAAGATTAAGTTTGGCAAGAGCATTATATTCATAAGCTGATTTATATTTATTTGATGATCCTCTATCAGCAGTAGATTCAAAAGTTGCTGGTAAAATCTTTGAAAATGCAATCAAAGAATTTATCTTTAAATTTCAACCTAATTATAGGCCTACTTTAATAAAAACTCATTAGGCTTTCATATAACAAACTCCATCTGTTATTTTAGCTACACATCAAATCTCTTATGCATTAGAATGTGATTATATTGTTATAATTGATGGAGGTATGATTACTCATTAGGGTTAAAAGAATAAGATGAAAAAACATGTTTTAGAAATCTCAAGTACTCATACAAGTAGTAGTAATATTGAAAATCCTGTTAGATCATTAAAAATAAAAAGACCTAGTAAATTAATTGGTAAGATAGTCAGTTAGATATAAAAATCAAGTAAAGATGACACCTAAGCTTTATACATAAATGAAGATTAAAATTAATCTGATGCTTCATTTGAAACTTATAAAAGATATTTTAGTTATTGGAAACCATTCTTTTTAATATTTATAATTTTATGCCAAAATATTGCTAGTGAGATAATTAATAATTATTATTATAAAGAAATGGCTACGTTTAATGAAGAAAAATAATAAGATAATGATTAGATATTTTACAATGCAGCAATATTGGTACTAGCAGCTTATTTCAATAATATCATAAAATATTTTTTAAATATATTTGGTGTTCTTACTTCAAATAATAATATTCATAATAAAATGTTATCAAATTTAATTTTATCTCCAATTACATATTTTGACACAAACCCTTCTGGAAGATTGATTAATCGTTTTTCAACTGATTTATCTTTAGCAGATACATAAATATAATAAACTATTACTGATATATTTGAATAAGGATCCTAATTTTTAGTATCTCTTGTTACTATAGCTATATTATAACCATATTTTACATTTGCTGCTTTATTCACAGTTATAAGTACAATTATAATTTTCAGAATCACAAGATCAGTTGTCTCTTAATTAAAGATATGTGATTTAATATAAAGATCTCCTTTATTTGATTAATTTAAAATTACTATTAATGGAGTGACATAAATAAGAATTAATGAAAATTAGTAATGGATAAGAGAAAAATTTATAAAATTATCTAATTAATCTATGCAAGCTAATTTAATATTTTTGTATTCATAGAGATGTTTTGGATTTTATATTGATTTATTTGGGTAATTTGCAAATATATCTGGAATCTTTTTGATTATAGGTATGGTATCAGACCCTACCATTTTCTCATAAGCATTACTACTACTTTCAACTTTCAATACTTAAGCAGGTACATTAAGGTAGTTTATGGCATTTGATTCAATGATGAATAGTGTTAATAGAATGTTTGAAATATGTGATTTGGAAATAGAAAAAGAAGAATCAGAAGGGGAATTAAAAATTAAGAATTGGCCAAAGTTAGGTTCAATAGTTTATTCAAATGTTACAATGTAATATAGAGAAAACACTCCTTTAGTATTAAAGGGATTGAATTTTGAAATAAAGGATAAAGAAAAAGTTGGAGTTGTTGGTAGAACTGGTGCTGGTAAATCATCAGTCATTGCAAGTCTTTTTAGATTAAGTTCTATTTAAAATAGTGGGTAATTTATATGTATATATATTTATTAGTGTAATTTCAATAGATGATTAAGATATCCGTAAAATTAATTTATATAAGTTAAGAAAAGAAATCAGTATTATTCCTTAAATTCCTTTTCTTTTCAAAGGGACATTGAGAGAGAACCTAGACCCTTTTTAAATTTTTGATGATAAAACATTATTAAATGTTTTATCAGATACAGGTTTGGAAGGTTTTATTTAATAATTACCAAATGGTTTGGAACATTAAATAGAGCCAGAATTCTTTTCTATTGGTTAGAAATAGTTAATATGTTTAAGTAGAGTTCTGTTAAATAAGAAAAAGATATTGATTTTAGATGAGGCGACTGCAAATGTTGACATGATAACTGACTGTTTAATTTAATAAATCATCAAAGAAAAATTTAATGATTGCACTATATTCACTATTGCACATAGATTAAATACAATAGCAGAATATGATAAAATTCTTGTTTTAGAAGATGGCAAAGTACTAGAGGAAGGACATCCATATGAATTATTAGTCCAAAATCCAAAGATTTCAACATACATAAATAGTGACTCTGCATTTTCTAAAATGGTGCTTCAGACAGGTTATAAGAATAGTAGCTAAATATATGCAATGGCAAGAAAAAGCTATCAATAGAAATATGTAATTTAGAGTAAAAGTAATTGTAATAGTAAAATTTTGGATGTATCTCTTAGTAGTATTAATGAATTTAACATTTGATACTACTAAAAATTTGATGATATTATTTAATAAATTATTATCTTTAAATAAAATTCATAATTTTTTGAAATCTAAATACATCCCTTTTGATTTTTTTATTGATAGTTTTAATTAATCTTTAAGTATAATGTATATTATTAAACTTCAATGTATAAAATTACTATTTCTTTTAATATTGTTTTACAATTAAAATTTTAAGTCTAGGTGATGTTATATAATAATATTTTATGTATAAACAAGTAATAATATTATTTGATTTAAATTCTATAAATAAATATAATATTGAAACAAAATCATTGAAAATAATAACATAATTTCATTAATAGGAAACAATAATATTTATTATGCTATAATTTAATTCATTTTGATAAATTATATTAGAGAATCCTAAGGAACATTTGGATCTTATTTATTTAAGATTCTATAAACCTTTTAATCTGTGATTTACATTTATAATATTAATGAATGAGTAATAACGATTTATAAAACTAGAGGAATCTATAGAATAACTGAGTAAATCTATTCTTCCTCACATTAACCAAATTTCAAAGATGTAATAAAAATTGTCAGCATTGGATGTTTTTATTACAAATAATCCAAGAGTTGATTTGATTAGTGATACTATCTAAATACTAAACTCTTAATTAAAGATTTAAGAAAGATTGAGTTCAATAGAATCATAACACTCTTAATTTAGTTCTCATTATGATGAAATTCTTAACAAACATTCTGTATGTATAATGCAAATTTAACCTTGGATTGATGAAATGCAAAGGTATAAATTCAATTATATACTTTTAAAGTATTTTAGAGGATGCCAAATAGAATAGGGAGATGAACAATCAAATGAGAATAAATTTTAAAGAAATGAATTAAAAGTATAAGGAATACACTGGTATTCTCTTGTAAAATGATAGATTAACATAAAACTATAAAACTAGGCTAGATTAATTTGAATCATTATTAGCTTCTAAAATTGATCATTCAGAAATAAAAAAAGTTTAAGATTTAATGAGGAGAGATTTTGTAACTTGTATTGAATCAGATAATATCAAGAATTAAATTCAATAAAGAATAGATAGATTACAAGGAGAAATGTGTACTAAATAATAATTAGGGATTGCTTAGGATAATATATAATTTATTAAAGATAGATAAGTGTAAGTATTAAGTGAATTAGTTGATAAAAAAATTGAAGATTTAGCTAATAATAAATTAAAAGTATATTCTACAAAAAATGATTAAAGAGTATATGAAGATAGAGTAAATTAAGTATGTAAGATATTATCAGAGAAAATATTAATGATGTAAAAAGAAATATAAGAAGAATGTAAATTAATGTAAGAATAAATCAAAGATGAAAATTAATAATTAAATGACTTAAAATAATAATTAAATGTAGTTAATTCAACATTCTAAAAAGTTGTTATGAAAGATGAGTTGTAAATTTCAATGTAAAAAACTATACGTTTACAAACTTAATTTGAATATTTAAATGAAAAACTAGAATCAATAAGTGCTGCTATATTTGAATAAAAAGTCTCATTTTAATAATTCAATAAATAAAAAACATTAGAAATATAAAATTTATAACATCAACTTATATAAAAAGAAGGTGAAAGTATAAATTATTGTGAATCTCCAAAAAAAACAGAAATTTATTAAGAAGAAATGTAAAGTATTCAATCCTCTACTTAAAAAATAAATAAATAATCATCAAATCTATATAGAGATGGATCTTTTATAAATTCTGATATTATGTAGAGAATATTTCAAAGATCAGATGCTAAAATATAGGAATTGTAAAATTAATTGGATGAATTTAGATAAAAATTACCTAAAACATATAAATTTTAAGAAAATAGTACATAAGTTTCAGACACAATAAACATTAGAATGGAATATTTTAATTAGATGATAATTTAATTAATAGATGAATCAAAAAAATTCAAAAGTTAATTTGAATTATTAAATTTATAAATAATAGCTATCAATAATAAACCTTAAATAAAATAAGAAAAACTATAAGAAATAGATGATAAATTAAAATTTATTTAAGAATTAGAAGTTAAACTTGATTAAAAATGTGATTCATCTTTAGTAATCCCAATTCTTGATAAAAAAGCTAATGCTTAAGAATATATGACCACAAAACTATTGACCAAATAATTGAAATAATGTGTTATAGACACTATAAACAGTTTGAGAACCTATTTTGCTTCAGATTAGAATGATTAAATTAAAGATTTGCTCATCAATTAATTAAATAGATATTTATGCTATTTTGCCAGATCAGTTGAAGTTCAACAACAAAATCAAAATGATTCACAATAGAGCACATAATAAATAAAATGTCTTTAATCTAAATATACTGCTTAAAGAATGAAGTCATATTCATCTTGTTCAAAAAGAAGAGAAACTGATTGTGATATAAGAGGAAGAACAGTTAATCGTAATATTACAGAAACTGTTTTATATAATTCATTAAGATCATCTCCATTAGCCTTTAGATTAGTAAATTAAAATAAATAAAGTACAAAAATAGTGAAAAGAATGAAAGTATAATGATTGATATTTTACTTACTCAATTTAACTTAAAATATGATATATAATTTTATTGTTACAAATGTACAGATAACTTAATATGTAACAGTTCTTCTGATTCAAACTTAACAGCTAATGAACCTAAATTAATAATAACTCTATTTATTAACCTTATAATTTGTCACCCTTATTAACAGGTATTTCTTCTCTAAAGTACAAAATAACAGGTTTCCAAAAAGGAGACTTGGTAGGACCCATTATAACATGAATTGGTAAATGAATATAAGTGAATGAATATTTCATCCAAACAATGACTCCAGTTACATAATCCTACCTCTTGATCTTTACTTAGTATTAATTACTAAAACTAAGATCTTCCAATTTACAAGTTTATAAATTGACCTCATAAATTAATTATTCATCACTATTTAATTAATCATCTTTTATGCTTTCAATAAGTGGCTCTTTTGCAACCCATTATTTCATCCATTTCATATTCACTCCATATACAGAATTCCTATAATAATAATTTAAAAATTTAAAATACCAAAAATTCATTTTTTAATCACGATATTAGGTATCTTCAATGGATTATAAATACAATTACCCTTTATCAGGCATGATGAATCCATCTTTATTTAAATATTTATCTCTTGCATAAATCACTTCTTAAATACTTCCACCATAAAATAGCATATTACCCATCCAAGCTGAAATTATTATATCTACTTTGCAATTTAATTCCACTTCCTTAATATTTTCTTTCTTTAATGTAACATTTTAAATGTTATTCTATTTCATAATCTCTGTAGCATAACAATTAGCTTTCATAGCATAAACTTATTTTGCTCCAGATTATGAAGCTAAAACACTAAGCAATCCCATCCCTGCATTTAGATCCAACACAACTTTATCTTTAAATAAATGCTTATTTCTGGTAATTGCCTTAACAAATGGTTCAATACGATCACGATCATTAAAAATTTCTTCATCGTTTAAATTATCCATTCAAAATAATGTTTAATTTTTAATAAACATAATTTCAAGTCTAAAATTGATATCTATACTTTATAACCAATAATATGAATTGGCATTATCTATCTTATAAACCAACTCAAATTATTTATATTGTATAAAACTTCTAAAAATATAAATTATACTAAAAGCTTTCACTTTGATCACAATTATTTTTTTATATTTAATATAAGATTTATAATAATAATATCATATTAAGAATTTAAGTTAATCTTTTTGTTGATTATTTTATAAGTTTTTAATGGCTTTCTTCATTAACATCATTCTGTTTTTTAAACTGAATATAGAAATTATATAACTAAAATAACTTATTTCTATTTTGCAATCTCTAAATTAATATTTTTTTATATTAAGGTAATCTTGAGATATAATTATTCTTAAAATATTTTGTTTAATAAAACTATGAAATAGGATGATTACACTTTGAATTAAATTGATGGTATTATAAATATCTTTCAATAAATATAATAAATTACTCCAAGTAAATAGATTAATTTTAATACTGAATTCTTTATATAAGAGATTATACATTTCCCCATCATATTATTCATTAACTGAATAAAAACTAGTCAAACTAGTTGTCACTGATATTTCATATTTATTAATACATAATATTTAGATATTTTTCATAAAAAAGAATTAGGCATAATACTTTGCTTATTAGTAATATTATATATATATTTATTAGTGTAAACAAAAATTTAATTAATCATAAAGATAGTAAAAGCTTGGATTTAAGTATAGTCACATTTCCAACATCTTTTAATAACAAACTTGTAAGGATAAGCAATCCAATATTTAATAATATATTTAATACTATTAACAATATTGAAAATATGCTAAGATCTAAATAGCTTAAACTAAATATTTCAATTATGATTCCAAAACTCACTAAAATTAAAATGTAAATTAAAGTATATTTGTGTTTCAACATTATCGAGAATATTATAATCATGATATATGTTATACTGATATCAGGAGTGATGAAATTAATCATCATAGAAATTACCTATCTATAATGATTAGTTAAATACTGCTATAATAGTTGCTAATAAATCGATACGAGCCATAATAGGATAGGAGTTTAATTATCTTTCTGGTTCAATTACAATCTTTTTGAATCCCAATGCTGATGAAGTGTTTCTGAATGCTGTGGCTTATAATGATGGTGGCTAAAGTGTATTCTTATTAGGGATATTCTAAAATATTTCAGTATTCAATTAAGATTTATTAGAATAATTAGTATATTTAGGTTAAATATTAGCATCTCTAAAGAAGGGTTTACATAATTCATTTAATTAAGATTAAAGGAGAAATAATTCTTCTTAACAATGTTATGTTTGATTATCAAGAAAATGCATTTTTTCATTAATCAATTCCTTATAATCATTACCAATACTCAACATACATTACAATTAAATTAATGTATGACAATTAACATTTTACATTTGTAATTCAGCTTCCTTCATTTCATTCATAGGCAAGGCTTCACAAGGTAATTATAAACTTGCAATAATGTTATGATCTTCTAATAATTCAATTTTTAAATCTGCAATAAGAGATTTAACTGGAATTTGAACATCTAGATTCCATTCAAACCATCCATCCTTTTTTGTTTATATTTCACTTTCATGTATAAATTCTCCTATTAGAACAACAATATAAGGTCTTTATACATAGGCTTCTTGTATTCTCACATAGCTAATATGAAGTATTGTTGTATTGCAATAAGGTTTGATTTATTTGAGATATGCTTTTTATTCTTCCATATACATTTCTCTATTCATAGCTTGATTGTATTTATTAATTATTATGTCATTGGCTTCATATATTACATGAGCTAAGGTTTAAATTGTTAAAGAGGTATTATAAGTAGTAACTCTTTCAAACAATTCAACAGCAATTTCATAATTAAATTCCTGATGTCCATTTTTAATGCTCATCTAATTTAGAATTTTTGTAGCTTCAATTTAGGTGATTTCTTCATCTTATTTTTTATTACAATATTCTACTAATTGTGAAACAATCTAATCATAATTTAATACTTTTTCCATTCAAATTAATTTATATTTTTATAAGGATTTAAATTAGAAATAAAAAAATAAAGAGAAATTTATATCCATTAATTCTAATGAATAAATCAATTTTTCTGAAAATACAAAGATAAAGAGTAACCTAAATTAAATCTCTTAATAATCTCTAACCATGATATTCCTTCTAATGATCTTAATTATTCTAAATGATTAATTCTTATTTACTTTCAATTTTCTCTGCTTATCCTATCATTTATAAGTAATTATCTTTTGCTGGATAATTTTAAAATAACAATAACACTTCAAAATTATTAATATATTCAATCTTAAGTACTATTATTTTAATAATATAATTTTTACATTATGGTTTCAATTAAATCATCATTGTTATTATCATAGCATCTAAAAATTTCATTTTTGATGTCTAGAACTTCTCAAACATCTTATCCCAAATTACTTATATTTATTCAATCTCATATTCTCTGGCTAGTAAACACATGTATATTATGAATATCTTACTTTAATCCATTTCATTAAAAATATTTCTGTGCTTATTTGATTCTATTCAAAAATTTAAAATAATTGTTCATCAATATATTTAAGTTTATCCATTGTAAGATCTTTTATATATCTAATAAGTGGTATTCTATCTATTGGCATATGAGATGAATAATTAAAATTTTATTTATGATCTCCATCATCCATTATTGTCTTAAAAACCCAATAAATATCATTCTCTATTTTAGTTGAATTCTATTCTTGAGAATCTTAAAAAGATTAAACATATGTATAAAATATTACACCTACTATCTCATTCATACCTATTTATTTAAATGCTTATATATACCTTGTCGATAAGATAAACTATGACTACACCATAATAATAACACATTGCACATTATGTTTTTATTTGATTCTAAGTGAAACAATCCCATTTCTTAATAAGTTCTATTAATATCTTTCATAATCTCATTTTTATCATCATCTGTCGTTTTTGCATTCATTTTCAATTTACAATACTCATCAAATTTCTTTTATCTTTATAAATTGATATCTGCTCTATTCTCATATATACTAAATAAATTATCATTTATTATTCAGTACCCTAAACACAATTCCCATTTCTAAAATCGATTCATAATAAATATGATAAAAAATTTAATTGAAAATGCAAAATTAACAGCACAAAAAGTAATGACTAAAGAATAATAACATAAACAACAATAAATTGAATCCTTTCCTACTTTTGATTAATTAGCATTTAAGAATTATAATATTCCAAAAGATAATTTATGGTAATACTCTATTGAGGATTTCACAAATATTATCCATTAAATGGAAGATTATATAAATAGACTTTAAAAAGGATATGATGATGTTTGTTAATAATTTTTACCTATGTTTAATAAATTTGAAATGCTTGAAAAAGAAAGGAAAAGAATGGCTTAAGAATTGTAAGAAAAGGAGAATCATTGTAAAGAATTAGAATAGGCCATGATAGAAATGTAGGTTGATGCTGATAATGAGTTAAGAAAGAAAGAAATCATTGAATGTGAATTAGAATAATCAAAAAAAGAATTATAAACTATTTAAGCCTAAATAAATTGGAATAATAATTAAATAGATGATAAAGAATTATTAGAAATTAATGCTGCATTTATTGATCTTGATAAAAGTAATGATGAATAATATAAATAAAGAATAGAAGCATTATAAAAAGAAATATAAGAATATATTTAATTAAATAAGGAATAACTTCATAAAATAAACTTGTAAGTCTAAGAAATTGATAAACAAAGCTAAGAAAATAGATAAATTAATAGAAATTATAATATGGTATTACAATAATTAGCAGATTAATAATCAAAAAATAGATAGGAGAATGAATCTAAATAATAATAAATTAATCTATTAATTAAAGAAAATAATAAATTAATCACTTAATTATAATAATTAGATTACCAAAAAACAATTGAATTATAATTATAATTAGAAAATACTAAATGGAAAGAAGAAATCTAAGAACTCAGGAATATTATACTAAAAAAAGAAGAAGAAATCAAAGTACTTAATAATTAAATTTTAATTGAAAAACAATAATAATAATAGTAAAATGATTTAATTAAAGTTTTGAAAGGGAAAAGAGATGTAGCCATTAGTGAAATCACATAAATGTAATCAAAATAATAATTTGATAATTCATAATCTATTACTCAACAGAAATTAAAATAAATTAGATTTTCAATTTAAAATAAACTAATTTAAATGAGAAAGCAATTTGAAAACATGTATAAGTAATATTTAACATTAATATGTAAACTTGAAGATAATAAACTATCAAATGATTTAATGAAATTAGAATCAACAATTAATAAAATTGTAATAGATATGCAAGACTTAGTTGATGAAGTTGAAGAGTTAATGGGATGATAATTTACAATATATTTTATTTTTTTATATATATAATATTATAATAATAATCCTCAATCTTTTAGTTCAATTATTTACTTCTAAAGATATCTGAGAATTTATATAAAATATTATAATGCTAAATAATTTTAACATTGTGTTTCTTCTTTTAAAAGAGAATTTAAACTAACTTTAATCAATTCCCATTATTAGAATTTTTCCTTTACATCTATATTATTTTCATCTTCAACACAATTAAAAATGTTAAGCGCAGTATTATAATCTGAGCCTTATATAAAAGTTTTCCATTCATCTGAATTATCAATTAATTATGTTAATGTTCTCAAAGCATAACCAATTTCCCATTTCATTATAAATACAGGATAAGAAGAAGAATTTTTTTGATCTTCTAAATAAATGTTGAAAATTTCAAAACTTAAAAACAAATTATTTTTCTCTTGCTTTGTAATTGCTTCAATTTAAAAAAAAAAAAATTCCCGATAATCCATTAAGTTAATTGTTTTCATTTAGTCTGGTGGTATAGTTGTAACATTTTAGCATGTGTAACATGATCCCATGAGAAAAAATTATTATAATTTTTATAATTAATCTATCTAGACCATACATAAATATTCATAATTCATTTAATATTTTTTATATCTGATGAGTCATCTGATCAATTTATAATTTTTTATTTTTATAATTTGTTAATTTTTTTTCAATTTCTTTAATTTTCTAATAAACATCCATTTATCTAATTATTATAAAAATTTACTTTTATTCTTATTCATATTCTAAATCACTAACTTTTTACAATAAAAATACTAATTCTTTAAATATTGAATAAGATGCTCCTTAAATATCTAATTTTTTAGAACATTTAATACATTTGTGTAAAACTCTAAATTATAATACATATTTTACTTTTTTAATTTATCGATTTTAATAAGATTCTCATTTGTTTTTTTATCTCCAATAGGATATGAACTAATTTTGTTTCTAAAATTAATGTAAGACAGTTAACTTTAATCCTCTATCATAAAATGTAGTTATATTTGATTAATTTTAAGTTAATGAGAACAGATGTAATTTCGTTAATTAAAATTATTAGGATATATGTTGCAATTAATATAATTTTAACTTATTAATTGTAAATTTTATAAAGGATAAGATTTATACTGATAAATTTATTTTTTTTCCAATTATAATCTTATATTTTATTAAACGTTAGCTTAATTCTTAATAATGTTACTTTTTTCAATTTTTATATTGCTTTAAGGAATTTAATTTGATAATTCTTCTTATTTTTGTAATTATTCTTTAGATTCACCTACTATATCAATCTATTAATCATTGATTTAGTTTTATTAATCTATTTGTTAATATGTTTCATCTGTATTTGATTTTTATTCTTAATCAATACTTTGATCTGAAAGGCCTTACTCTATGAAACTTTCTTCAGATATTTCTGATTCCATATCATTATTATCAAATTTAATAATTGTTTGTACAATATTATTTATAATTTATTCATATTGATCTTCTTTTTAACTTAAGAGTATTAAATTTTAATTCAATAAAATTAAATTTTAATGAATAAATTTTTTAATTTCAGTGTTTTAACCATTATTTATGTATTTACACAAGATTTCATAAACATTTAATATTAAATTATCTAACTCATCTACTTTAAAATTGAAATCAACATTAATCTAATTATCATCACAATAATAAACAGATATTAAGTATTCAAGTAATTATCTTTACTCATCAAAAATTATAAAATCGATTTCTTCTTAAAATCCTTAATTTTATTATTTTTATTATTATGTAGGTTATTTTTCTATCTAAATAATTTTTTCTATTGATTATACATTTCTTTCTCCTTCATAATTTATTTCTTAATTATTAATTTAAGATTAATCTTGTAATTCTTAACATTTATTTTAATTCAAATCTTATTTTTAATCTGTATCTTTTATTTCTAACAATTATTATTAATTTTCTTAATTTTCTTCTTTATAAACTGTTTACTAAGTTTCATTATTTGAATTATCTATATAATATTGATTATTTATTGCCAAATATTAAAGATTTATTTCAGAAATATCATTTTTGTTTTTAATGAATGAAATATCAACATTATATAGAAGAATTAAAATTAAAATTACTTAACTAATCTCATTTTTAATAGTTTCAATATGATAATTATCAAATTAATTTTTCTTAAAATGAAAATTCACCCAATACTATAATGATTTTATGGATATTTAATTTTTACATAAAGTGTTAAAAGCAATTAAACTAAATAAGAATTTATATTTTTCTTCTATTATTTCTATTATACATTTAGGGATTTATATTTTTAGTGAATCTAAAATTTATATAGCTTGAATTAAATTAAAAATACATTTCTTTTTTGGAATAAAATTATTTTTAATTTAATGACAGACATTATTAATTATGAATACTAAATCTGATATTAAAGATGGATTACTCATAAAACATTGCTATTGGTTATTATTAATATAACCTTTTTATTAAATCATATTATTAAATAGTATTTATAGAATCGGTAGTTAATTTATTTTCTATGTAAGTAAGTTTTAAATTTTTTATTCAATTTCAAAATTTTCTATTAGAGTTAATCCTTAAGTGTCATCAATCATAAAATAAAATGTTATACTTGATCCAAAAAGATTAAGAAGTTTGGATTTTGAATTATAGGCTCCAAATATCGAACAAATAGATGAAAATACATCTTAATGATATTAATTATTTTCTTAATCAACTTTAAATAGATGAACTATCATTATTAAAAATTTTCCTAAAAATAAAAGTTATTAAAAATTAAAATTTTTAATGAATTTTTCCTCAAATCTCTTATTATGATAGAGAAAAAAATGTAAAATAATCATAAATTATTCCTTCTAATTTTTTAAATTAAATAACTCTTATATATCTTCTTCATTTAATTCACAATTATTGTTAATTTTGACATGAAATTAAAAAAATAATTTGAATTTAACAGGAAAATTTATTTTTACAAATTTTCTTAAATACTCTTCATATGTGTTATATTTCGGAGGATCATATTTATCCAGATTTTATTTATTAAGATTTTGTTTATAGTTTTTAAAATAATAGTTAAGAAGATAGTAATTCTTAATAAGGAATAAATTTTCATCTTTAATATCTTAAAGTTCTTCCTTTTTTAACAATAAATCATTAAGTTCTTTATATAATAATTTTTAGTTTTCATTTAAGGATTTAATAGATTTTCTTAATATTTCAATTTTATCTAAAAATAATAGCTATAAAATTGACATTTAATCATAAAATTAGAATGTATTATTATTCTATATATCATCTTTTTCAGATTCCTGTAGTTTATATTTTTTTGGATCAAAATACTAATAAAATAATTCATTTTCTGGATAAAGAGTAATTATTACCTAATGTTAATTTAATTACTCAAAAACTTCAATAAGAAATTATTTTAATGATTCATTTTTATATATTTACTATTCTGAATTAACAATTTTAGAAATTTCTTATTTTGAATGCATGTTGATTATCATTTTTTAATCTATTATCTCATAATAAAGTTCCCAAAATATGTTGAATTCTTCATAAATCATTTCTTCTAAATCATCATTAATATAAATTTATGATTTAAGTATANTGGTTATTATTAATATAACCTTTTTATTAAATCATATTATTAAATAGTATTTATAGAATCGGTAGTTAATTTATTTTCTATGTAAGTAAGTTTTAAATTTTTTATTCAATTTCAAAATTTTCTATTAGAGTTAATCCTTAAGTGTCATCAATCATAAAATAAAATGTTATACTTGATCCAAAAAGATTAAGAAGTTTGGATTTTGAATTATAGGCTCCAAATATCGAACAAATAGATGAAAATACATCTTAATGATATTAATTATTTTCTTAATCAACTTTAAATAGATGAACTATCATTATTAAAAATTTTCCTAAAAATAAAAGTTATTAAAAATTAAAATTTTTAATGAATTTTTCCTCAAATCTCTTATTATGATAGAGAAAAAAATGTAAAATAATCATAAATTATTCCTTCTAATTTTTTAAATTAAATAACTCTTATATATCTTCTTCATTTAATTCACAATTATTGTTAATTTTGACATGAAATTAAAAAAATAATTTGAATTTAACAGGAAAATTTATTTTTACAAATTTTCTTAAATACTCTTCATATGTGTTATATTTCGGAGGATCATATTTATCCAGATTTTATTTATTAAGATTTTGTTTATAGTTTTTAAAATAATAGTTAAGAAGATAGTAATTCTTAATAAGGAATAAATTTTCATCTTTAATATCTTAAAGTTCTTCCTTTTTTAACAATAAATCATTAAGTTCTTTATATAATAATTTTTAGTTTTCATTTAAGGATTTAATAGATTTTCTTAATATTTCAATTTTATCTAAAAATAATAGCTATAAAATTGACATTTAATCATAAAATTAGAATGTATTATTATTCTATATATCATCTTTTTCAGATTCCTGTAGTTTATATTTTTTTGGATCAAAATACTAATAAAATAATTCATTTTCTGGATAAAGAGTAATTATTACCTAATGTTAATTTAATTACTCAAAAACTTCAATAAGAAATTATTTTAATGATTCATTTTTATATATTTACTATTCTGAATTAACAATTTTAGAAATTTCTTATTTTGAATGCATGTTGATTATCATTTTTTAATCTATTATCTCATAATAAAGTTCCCAAAATATGTTGAATTCTTCATAAATCATTTCTTCTAAATCATCATTAATATAAATTTATGATTTAAGTATACTATTTATTTCATTATCAAAAAGGTCTTTTATTGGAACTTAGTCTAAAATGTTTTTTGAAATACTTTTTTATATAAAATTATCTTTTTCTACTATATTATTGCCAATATTGTTTTATTTCTAAACTAATAAATGGAAAACATTTTGTTAAAAATCTTATAATTAATTTAATAGATAGTATTTTACTTCATCTTTATTTAAAAGGCCCTTATTTTAACATTCTTTTAGGAAATCATATTTGAAAAACCCATATTGGAAACCCTCATTTTAATTATTTCCTGAAAGTAATTTTAATAAATTCATATGATCACCTAAATTAAAATAAATTAGAATTGCTAACAAAATTTATTTTTACTTTTTTGCACTTTTTGCAGCTTATGGATATAATTCTAAATTTAAAAACAAAATAACGCTCTCTTCATACATCATACCAGAGTAATAACAATTTGCTGCTTATTATAAATCATTTATTAAAGGATCTAAAAATGTTTATGCTGCTATTTGAAAATCTTATTTTAATTATGATTCTAATTCATCAATTTTTTTTTAAGATCTAAAGTACCATTTTTTTTAAATTAAATTTTATATGATTTATAGTTAGCTAATTTTTAAGATCCTTTAGCCGCAAATAGAAACGCTTCAGATAATTTAGCCATTCTTTAATTTTTACATCTCTAAAAACACTTCTATGCTTCATCATAAAGCTTTTTTTAAAACATCAATTGTCCTTATGTTTCCCATATTTACCTTTCCTCATCATTCAATATTCTTGGCTATCTTTATTGAATTTCTTGTTGTAATTTATTTTAATTCTTTTCAAAAACTTTCTTATTTTTTTAGGTTATTTGATAAATTTAATCAACATTACTTATAAAATCACAAACCTAATATTATTTTAGAATTCTTTCTATATGATACCTCTATGATGGGTCATCATCATAAATAATTACTCTCTTTTTAGCCCTAGTTACACAAACATATAACATCTTCAATTCATTACAAAGAGTCGAATAATCATTAGTTTTCTTTTTGTCATATCTATAATTTAAAGTTATTTTTTTTTAAACAACTTACTTTCCATCTTCTTTTAATTATATATCACACTAACTATTTTACTCCTCAAATTCTATTATATTAATATAAATATACATGTTATAGATGCTTCAAAAACTTACTTATCAATATATGATTCATCTACATCTAGACAAGATAAAAAGGCCCATTACTATTCTGGAATGGGGTCAGAACTAAAACAATTATATAGAATAACATCATCAAATTCTAATCCCTTTGTTTGGTACGTTGTAAGTACTCTCGCTTTTTTAAAATGTTACGGTAAAGTTTCTTTTGCTTCTTCACTTTTTACAATTATAACTTGATTATAGCCAAATTCTATTTCACATTATTCTTCAGCATCACAATCTTAGTTTAAATAACAAAAAATTAAGGAAGGATCAGCTTTTGAAATAATTACAGGTTTTGGACCTTTAAGATTTGAAATTTCTTTTTGTAAGTGATCTAAACTATGAGGAAATAAAAGTTCAAGTATTATAATTATACAATTAGCCAATTAAAGTATATTATTATGAGATCTAAAATTTTTGGTTAATTAATAAACTTAAAATTTCTCTAATTAATTAGATCCTATTTTTTTTGAAGTTTTAAAAATAGTTTATAGATCAGAAAATCTAAATCCTACTCCCTTCAGAATACTTTAAGCTGAATCACCACAAAATATTATTCCTTATTCTGTTATTTTACAAAATAGTTCAATCATAGCCTAAGGTAAATCTTACACTTCATCAATATAAGAATAATGAAAAGGAAATCGAATTAATTCATTTTATTCTATATTAATTAATAATTAATTAATCAGATCTAATTGATCTATATATTATTCTTTTTCTTTCCAAATCTCATATTTTAAAAAGCAATCATAAATTTCTATCATCTATGCTTCACTCAAATAATTTCCAACTCTTTCTTTATATAAATGAAAAGGAAGACATCTATCAGGGTAAATATATGAATATTAAGAACCTTTAATGTATGAGTATATCTATGTCCATATTAATGATGGAAGAGCAGTATTATCAAAATTGTTTCTTCCTCTTCCACAAACCTAAGGCCAAAATTATAAATAAAATAACATAAAATCAACTTCAGGTAAAATGATATCTTATTTATGTTGAATATCATTTGAAAAAGAGGATTAAGATTAAACATTTTTATTTTAAGGAAACCATTCATCTAGATTTATTCCATTGAAATCTTAGAATCCAATTTTGTTACTGTGCTTTAATCTAAATTTATTAATTTTTTCGATTGAGAAAAATGGATTTAAAGATGTTTTATCTAAAAGAATTAGAAGCTATTCTGTAGATAAAAAACCAGGAAACTTTGTTTATTACAATGATTATTCATTCAATATTTGTTTGTCTAATTAATGAATTCCTCTATTTTGATTATATGGGCAGTATTCCTCTGGCTAAAGTGAAACAAAATCTAATATATCAGATTCATAGTTTGATATGACACTTTCATTAATTGAAACACTAATTTACTAAATGTTTTAAATTACAATGATTCATCTAAATTAAAAGTCTTTGAATCTCTATGACTATTTATAACTTCTTAAGCTTATTTTTCTAATTTATGATAATACTTTTCCACTTCTTAAACTAAATACTTATTAGCAGTTGAAAATAAAGAATGAATTTAAACTTCTTTTCCCTAATAATCTTACAAAAATTATATTCTTTTTTAACCAAGTAGTTTGCTTCTTACTTTTACTAACATTTCTGTANTATAATTATACAATTAGCCAATTAAAGTATATTATTATGAGATCTAAAATTTTTGGTTAATTAATAAACTTAAAATTTCTCTAATTAATTAGATCCTATTTTTTTTGAAGTTTTAAAAATAGTTTATAGATCAGAAAATCTAAATCCTACTCCCTTCAGAATACTTTAAGCTGAATCACCACAAAATATTATTCCTTATTCTGTTATTTTACAAAATAGTTCAATCATAGCCTAAGGTAAATCTTACACTTCATCAATATAAGAATAATGAAAAGGAAATCGAATTAATTCATTTTATTCTATATTAATTAATAATTAATTAATCAGATCTAATTGATCTATATATTATTCTTTTTCTTTCCAAATCTCATATTTTAAAAAGCAATCATAAATTTCTATCATCTATGCTTCACTCAAATAATTTCCAACTCTTTCTTTATATAAATGAAAAGGAAGACATCTATCAGGGTAAATATATGAATATTAAGAACCTTTAATGTATGAGTATATCTATGTCCATATTAATGATGGAAGAGCAGTATTATCAAAATTGTTTCTTCCTCTTCCACAAACCTAAGGCCAAAATTATAAATAAAATAACATAAAATCAACTTCAGGTAAAATGATATCTTATTTATGTTGAATATCATTTGAAAAAGAGGATTAAGATTAAACATTTTTATTTTAAGGAAACCATTCATCTAGATTTATTCCATTGAAATCTTAGAATCCAATTTTGTTACTGTGCTTTAATCTAAATTTATTAATTTTTTCGATTGAGAAAAATGGATTTAAAGATGTTTTATCTAAAAGAATTAGAAGCTATTCTGTAGATAAAAAACCAGGAAACTTTGTTTATTACAATGATTATTCATTCAATATTTGTTTGTCTAATTAATGAATTCCTCTATTTTGATTATATGGGCAGTATTCCTCTGGCTAAAGTGAAACAAAATCTAATATATCAGATTCATAGTTTGATATGACACTTTCATTAATTGAAACACTAATTTACTAAATGTTTTAAATTACAATGATTCATCTAAATTAAAAGTCTTTGAATCTCTATGACTATTTATAACTTCTTAAGCTTATTTTTCTAATTTATGATAATACTTTTCCACTTCTTAAACTAAATACTTATTAGCAGTTGAAAATAAAGAATGAATTTAAACTTCTTTTCCCTAATAATCTTACAAAAATTATATTCTTTTTTAACCAAGTAGTTTGCTTCTTACTTTTACTAACATTTCTGTAGCAAATATTCTTAATACAGTACTAGTTGTTTTTCCTGTTCCACTTCTACCAATAACTAATGCATTATTCTTTGTAGTAACAATTTATCTTTCTTAATCCGATAGTTTTATTTTAAATTATTAAGATCTTTACAATAAATCTAAAATTTTGCCTACAGATTCAAAATCAACAAATTATATTAATTTATACTTATTTTAATTTCCAATCTATTCATAATGAAATTAATTTGATAACTTTTCATAATAAGATTTCTTTATAAACTATCCTTTAAATAAGAGATCCGATTTATTTTCTATAAGTTATTTAAATTTTAAAGGAATCCATTAAATTATATTCTAACTTTATTAAAAATATAATGATTCAGGCCAAATTTTATTTTAAACTTAAAATAAGTAGCTTTACTATTTGGCATCGTTTCCTGTTAATGGTACACTAACACATTCTATTTAGTCTAATTCCATTCTATAGAAATCTTTTGAATTATTAATTTAATATTCTTATATAGCATCTGTAATTTCTTAACCTTTTTAAAAAAAGAAGATTTCTATAAAAGTAATTTTTTAAAAGATATCAAAATAACAATACTAATATAAATTTTTAGATTTACTTATTGTTTGGTATCATTATACTATTTATGTAAGCCAACTTCAAATAAAACACTGAAATTTTCTGTAGATTGAAATAAAAAAAAACTTTGATATCTCAAAACATATGGAACTTTTAAGTAGATCAAGTTGACTTTCTTACTATTGTAATTAAAATATCCATCTAATATTAATAACATTGAAGAAACAATTGATTATATTTTATCATTTTTATTAATGATCTTATTAAGAATTTATTCTATTTTATAGGATAGATTTACTTTTAATTTGATAACTCCAAATAGATTCTTTGATAACATCAAAAATTCTTGTATTATATTATTGATTATCTTCTATCATCAATGAATCTAATAACAATTTAGTTAGGATCTTTTCATTAGTCATATCTTTAATTCTTGGGTCTCTTTTTTAATGATTTATGTAGTTTTAGATTTTTTATTTGTAGATTTTTGTTTGAGTTTCCTCATTTTTTTGATTTTGCTTCATAGTGTACAAAATTTCTGAATTAATTAATTTAAAAATTATAAGTGTTTTATTTAAAAAGTGATTTAAATTTAATATATTTTATTCAATAATTTAATCAAATGTTATTTTTATTTTATTTTATATATTAAAAAATTATCATAATAATTGAAGAAATAGTAATACATATTTATTCTATAATGAACACTCTAGAATATTAAATTAGAATTAAAATTCATTTAACTTTAATAAAAAAACATTATAATCAAATTATATTAATTTCAATATTTTTATTCCTTTCTTTAAGTATTCAATATAGTATTTCGATTTGAGATACCAGAGAATGGTTTCAAATAACAAATTTGAAGCATTCTTTTATTTAGATTTCTAACAGTCTAGATTTATTAATCTAATTTATTATTTTAATTAGATTTGCCCCTTTTTGGACTTCTATTTTTAGATGAATAATCAAATATTTCTAAATTTGGTGCTGACGATCTTAAAGATATTGGTTTAAGTATTAATTATGTTTATTCTGTTTAGAGATTTGTAATTTTTATTTAAGGGGATTCATAAAGATATGGTTTCAAATTAATTGGAGGAGGAGAGACTAATTTTTGATTTCTTTTATATTTCTTTGACATTGGACTCTCTATTTTCAATTATTGTTTTTTAGGACTAATATCAGGGATTGAGAGAAGGGTGGCAGTGGATCTTAATGATTTTGTTGAAATAGTAAGTTATGATTATTATTGCTATTATATAATTAAACTTGACCAGAATTCTTTGGAAGGTTGTTCTTCCTTCTAATATACATTATGAAATTTTTTCATCTTTGCTGATCTTTTACCACAGTCATTGCAAGTGCAACTCAATCTTCTTTGTCGAGAATAATCAATCTCAAACATTTTTTCCTTGAAGTTTTTATTTTTTTGCTTATTATTAGAGTTTCTAATCAAATTATCAATAAGCACTGTTTTATGATAAAAAAGTAATCTTCTTTAAATTTCCTTGCCTTCTGTTTTTATAATTGATGCTTGAGAAACTCTATGTCTTGGAACTTCTGAGAAAACAAAAAATAATGATGCATTTAAACTTCGAGCTAGAGTGATGATTATAGCATTTACATCTCTATTTTTCTTCTTTAAAACAACTCTAACTAAATTTATTAGATTTCATTAGAAGAATCTAATTATAATATAATAATTATTTCAATATGATGGATATAGGTCTTAAGAAAAAATCATTAAAATTTCATGTTAAATCAGCTAGCACATCAAATATGTTTGCAAGTCCATAATCAACAAATACACCTGTTACTGGAAAGTCTATTGCTTAATTTGTCCATATTCCTTTTCTTTCTTTTAAAAGAAGTGAAATGAAAAAATATATCTAAACAGAAGAAAGAGAGTATCTCAAAAAAAAGTAGATCATAGAATCAGGTTATTTGACATAGAGAGGTATGTCAAAATTCTTAAAACCAAATCGTATTTACATTTTTCTTTATTTAGGATTGAAATGGCAAAAAAATGACTTAAAAATTCATGATAACATTCTAAAAACTAAATTAAATATTGCAGATATCATTTTAAATGCTAAAGGAGGCTAATCTCGTAGAGAATTATTAATTGAAAAAATACAGAATTAGATTGATAGCCCTTAATAAATTATAAGTCAAAGAACTATTAAAAGTGAACATACAGTTTAAATATTTATGGATAGATTAAAATTTCAATCACTACCATAAAAACTAAAAGGTGATTCTTAATCTCCTCTAAAAACAATACAATCTCAAAAGTTCATCTTCAATTCTTCTACTACCTATTAAACAGAATGATTTGATGATTAAATTAATTATGTATGTATAAATATATCAATAAAACCATGAATTTTTATAATTTTGGTAATTTTATGGAAATTTCAAAAATGAAAAGTTTAATATTTCATATATAATTTACTATTTCAATCTAATTAAAACTTATTCATAGAATAACTTAAATTCATATAAATTACAAATAGAAAACTTGTATTTTAATTTTGTTTAATATACTATTATTAAGAATTTTATAAAAATATCAAACAAATATAAATATAGAATAATTTTATCTGACAAAGTTAATTTCATATTATTTTCAAATTAGAATCTATTCCTTGTGTTTCTTTAGGAAAATTAATTTTCTTTGATTAAATCATAGATCTATTACTTAATCCTTAAGAATTATTTTAACTTAAATCTTTTTATAATAGATCATGATTATTTTCTTAATCATAACCATCTATATTTTCAGATGATTTAATTTGTTTCAATTGATCCTAGGATATATTTATTGTATTATTTTAATCATGCAAAGATTCTTATCCGAGTCTTTTTTATTGGTTTTCGTTTTCATTACTTTATAATTAATTTAAAACGAATTAATGATTCTCTCCTATATTTTAATTTTCTTTTGTTTAATTAATCTGACTTATATCTTGTATCCTTTTACTTTCATTTTCTTTGATTTAATCGGTAGGTTCTAAATTTAATTATTTATTTAAACTTAAATATATGTATATTATTTTACTCATTTTTAGCATAAATTTAACTCTATTGTAAACTTTTTCGTTTTTCATTAATTTCTCCTTATTATTTTTCTAAGAAAAGACTTTTTACTAAATCATTTCTTATTGTAATTTGTGTAATTTTTTTCTCAGATTTTTAATTTTAATCTTATGTTTCATTTATAGAATTCTTTTTACTTAATTGATTCTAAGTATTTTCATTCTCTATTTATAATAACTATTATATATCATTTTAATTTAAATTTTCTTAATTTTATAATCCTTATTATATCTCAGAGTTTCCTTTTTCTACAATTTCTTCTTTTTTAAGAATATAAACACTTTTCACTGTTGAACTAGTTTTATTCATCAATTATTCTTAATCTTGTAAATTGGTTTTGGGTTAGAGTTTTGAAATTACTTTATTTTCTTCTTCAGGTTCAAAATAAAATTCCTCATTTTCAAGAGTTTTATTTTGATTTTAGGATTATCTGTTAGAAATTAATTATAAATTCTATTAATCTGTTATGGGATTTTGTAATTAAATTTCTTAAATTCTATGAGTTATAGCTTCATTCTTTATTATCTGCTATGATAAATCAATTTATGCTTAAGTATTTTATTTTTTATTTAAATCAATATTCTCATCATCTTAATTATTATTCTAGGATTGTTCTTTATTAATTTATTAATTATCGACTTGATCAGAAGGACTCTATTCTTAAATCTTAGAAGCATCATTTAATAAAAGGGATTTTAAAAGGGAATTATTTATTTAGTTTGAATTAATAGATAATTCATGTTTATCAAATTAAATTGAATCATTATTAATTTAATTTGTTTATTTTAAATGAATAGGTCTTTTTTTGATTTTCTGTTTGATTTCTATATTTTAAGAATCTTCTTATTGAATTGAGTTTGGTTAACTATTAATATTTTTATCTTATGATAATTGAGGATCAAATATTTAATTCTGTTTTGTATCCTAATTGACAAGATTATTTGAAGTTTTACTTTTAATAGATTAATGTGATTATTCTAATTAATTACTTTATTTATCATTTTGTACTTTTGCTGTTTAATTAAGAGAAGACTAATCTTTCATTTGAATATTATTTAATTTTTTTTGAGTTTCAGTATCATGATTTATTTTTGATTATTTAGGTGTGATTGAAACCTATTCGTTTTCAGATTACTCTGTCTTAATTATATTTTACTAAGAAGATTCATTAAGTTTTTAAGATTTATTTGATTAAGATTCTTAATGAAATCCTTTAATACATTAAGATTATATTTTATGATTATCTTTTTGATTTTTAAAATATTAATACTAAATAACTTAAGATTAGATTCTATTTTTTGTTCCATCTGGTAATATTTTACTGATCTTTTATTTTACTGTCGAAGATTATTGTGAAATAATTGGTAATTTAAATGATTGTTTTTCTGTTGTATCACTTTCTTCTGAAAATTCAGTTTTTAATTTAGTTGCCTTAAAATATTTTAATTCACTTTCTTAATAATATGATTAAGTTCTATTAGGTGTTTATGTTTTTTTATTTACAAATTTAAATTTAGATTGTAATTATTACTAAATAAAAGATTAATCTGTTTATTATTCTTAGGTAATTTTGAATTTATTTTTTTATTAATCTTGATTTTCTGGCATTTAATTTTATACACTTTCTGGTTGAGACAAAATACATTAAACATTTTCGACTGCAAAAACAATTTATTCTAAGAATTTTAGCATATGTTCTCTAGTTACAGGTTATTAAAGATAATTATTTGTAGTATCGAATTTTGGTAATGAAAATTATTATTTTCTCTTTGGAGTTATTTATTATCTAGAATGCATAGATGGAGAAGTTGATTTCTCTTACTAATGAACTTTTGAGTTAACTCTACTTATTTGATAATTTCTATAGCTTGATTTTTTGTTCTGTTAATACATTTTGAGAAATAATATAATATAAAAATTAATGAGTTTTTACTATTTATTCGATTAACATTATAGATGGATTTTTGTTAATTGAATTTATATTTATCTTAAGAGATTAATAAAACCAATTTATTACATCTTATAAAAGTATAAAATATGCTTTAAAAATGTCAATTTTGAATAAAATATGTATCTAGTTCGATATAAATTATTTCATTCACATAATAATTTTAATTGATTATTAAAATGAAATTGTTAACTTATTATTTATTTAATATCTAAAGATAATTAATAATAGAGATATACTGATAATATATATTTAAGGAAATACAAATAATTATAAACTTAATTAAAATTTCTTATTTTATGATTCATCACTTATTTTGTATTATTAAAAAAATTTCCTATCATTTAATTAAAACTATTATATATGGATAAAGAAACTAAAAATTCTGATGAAATAACTTAATAATTGAATGGTATAGCCTAAAAATTTCAAGAAGAAAATATCTAATTTACTTACAAATTCATGGGTGAATGGGTGCCTTAGGAAACAGAAAAAGTTTCATTCACAATAGACACCTAAAAGTTGAGTTTTCATATTAAGGGTAAAGATCCATATGGAACTTGGAATCAGATAGGCTTAATAACTATTAATAAAAGTAATCAAGTTGAAACATTTTCAAGAAAACTTTATGATGATTCTTATCTTCATGGAGGTGATGTATTAATATATTATGGATAATATGATAACTCTATTTAGACATTTAGTGGAAATTGGTACTACCTGGAGGGATAATAAAAAGGAGAATGGTCTCTAAAATTTTAAATTTAATGAGTCATAATATTTATTATTTCCATATTATAAAAAGATTAGAATTTATTTTTAATTAATAAACATTTTTTATAATTGTATGAAATTAATTGTTAAGAAAACTAAATTATTTCTAAAAATCAAGAGTTTAATATAGTAATATGACGCTTAATCAATATCCATAGGATCTATCGTATAGTGGTTAGTACCTGAGGCTTTAACCCTCAAGACCTTGGTTCGAATCCAAGTAGGTCCTTTTTTTTCATTTCTTATAATATTTTATTTATACTAATTTATTTAATTCCTTAAAAAATTATAACTAATTTATTGAATTCCTTAAAAAATTATACTAATATATAAAATGAATATATTAATTTTAAATTTCTACAAATTGAAAAAAACTGTTAGGAAATTGAATTCTTTCAATTTATTTAATATTTTTTAATTAAAATTCATCTATAAAAAGCTATAATACGTATCTTAGTGCATTTAATTATTATAAATCTATTTTATTAATTATGATTAGTAAATATATCACTATTATAGTATAAGAGATATTTAAGAATTATTGCAATATATGAATAATTAAAAATATCTAATTTTTACGTTATTTTATTGTTGGAAAGATTATAAGGTTTAATACTTTAAAAGAAAAGAATAGTGGTAGTCTATCATAAATTTTGAATAAACTACAATTTTTTAATTAAAACTGTATAATATGTACTAATTTAATGTTATTTTTTTGGGTACTCAATATTAGATTTAATAAATCCTATTAAATAGCTTAGAAAATTGATATATTATTATTTTATATCACTGAAATACAATTATGAGATTATTAGATTTAAAAAATGAATTCTTATACCTTGAATCTAATATAAAATTGTGGATTAAAATATGAGGAATAATTATTGTAGCTTAATACTTAGTAGGATGGGGGAATGTATATATGAATATGGTTTTCTAATAACGAATTTTTGAAAATATTAATTAATATTTTATGGACCCTTCTAAAACATAAATGTTAAAGTTATCATAGTCTACTAAAGAGAGAGTAGAAGCTGCAAAATAGTATATCGAAAAGAAATACCAAAAGTTACTTTATGAATAAAAAGAGAAAAGAGAAAAGTGGGAACAATTAATTCAAAAGCTGACTAATCTCAATTATACACCTATTGAGCAATAAGTTATCAAGTAAGACTTGCTTCACAAAGAGGCTGAGATAATGAGATTATAGAGACAAAAACTAAGCATAAAAGACTTTGAACCAATTGAAATTATTGGAAGAGGTGCTTTTGGTGAGGTAAGATTGTGTAGAAATAAATTATCTAATGATATAGTTGCAGTTAAGAAAATGAAAAAGTCTGAAATGCTTTATAAAAATTAAGTATCTAAAGTAATTTAGTAAGGTTTGTCATGTTAGGGCAGAAAGAGATCTATTAGCAGCTTCAGATAATCCTTGGATAGTTTAATTAAAATGCTCATTTTAAGATGAAAAGTATAAAATTCTATTATGTAAGATATCTTTACTTAGTAATGGAATACTTGGCAGGAGGAGATTTGATGACATTATTAATGAAGAAAGACATTTTTACAGAGAAAGAATCATAATTTTATATGGCAGAATCAATAATGTATAATATAAATAAATAAGTATAGGGCAGTAGATTCTGTTCATAAATTAAAATATATACATAGAGATTTAAAGCCAGATAATATTTTATTATAAACAGATGGACACATCAAATTAAGTGATTTTGGATTATGTAAATATGTAGAATCAAGAGGAACTAGATTAGATGAAAGAATTAGTATACATAAGCCAGAGGATAAAGGAGGTAATACAACAACCTTCAAGAGAAATAGAATTAAGGCTTATAGCACAGTAGGAACTCCTGATTATATTGCACCTGAAGTCTTTGGAAAATCTGGTTATAATGAAACAGCAGATTGGTGGTCATTAGGAGCTATATTATTTGAAATGTTGGTAGGATATCCACCATTCTTTTCTGATGATCCTTCATCAACTTGTTAGAAGATTATAAATTGGAAAAAAACACTTGTTATACCATAGGAAGCCAAATTATCTCCTGCTGCTACTGATTTAATATTAAGACTTATGACAGATGCTTCTAATAGATTGGGAGTGAATGGAGTCAATGAGATTAAAGCTCATCCCTTCTTTGCTGGTATAGATTGGAAAAATCTAAGATCCAAGGTATCACCTTATATACCAGAAATTAAATCTGAATTGGATACTAGGAACTTTGATAAATTTGAAGAATAGGAACCTTGGGTACCCTAAGAGTAAGTATTTATTTCAAACAAAGCTCTGGTAAATCAGTTAGAAAAGATGTGAATTTTATAGGATACACATTTAATAGAGAAGTAGAAGTTCAAAGATCTTATCTCCTTTAAGCTTTACTAGATCTTGATTCTATATAAACACAAAAAACGGTAGTTTTTAATTCATTTATTTAGGTACCCACTGAATCAACTTTGAGTAAATCTTAAGAAAAGAAAGATACATTTTTTACATCTAATTTACCTAATAGTATTTCTTTAGATCCAGAATTGTAAAGCAAATTATTAAAAACTCAAAAATTATTATAAAATGCTAAATCAAAGTAAAATAGAATAATATACTAAGGCCACTCTTGAGTTAAAAAGAATTATCAAATACTTAGAAATAATAACAATAATTAAGTTTGAGTCCCACACATTAAAATTTCAATCAATAAAATTATTTGAAATAATTAATAAGTCCATAAAATAAAAAAAATGCTATTTCACCTTAATCCAAACCTGTTAGTGAACATCAAAATCCAACTTTGGCTTAACTATATAAATAATTTGAGGTATAAAAATAAGTAAGCAATACTTAAAGAGTTTAACCAAAATCACAGATTTAAATGCCTATAAATAGTAATATAAATAAAAAATGATTAGTAATAAAAATATCAAATAAATAATAATTATCAATTTTTTCCCCAAAATTATTTGAATAATGCTAAATATGTTGATTTTATAACTAAACTCTATTATTTTATACAATTAATTACATTATGTTAATAGCAATAATGAATTAATCCAATCAATAGACTAAATAATATCAATTCAAAGTTTTTCATTTTTAATTTTGGGTATTTCTTATGAAAATGATTATAAATAGACTCACAAAAACGAGGAAATAATTGAAGAGTCATTTCAAATCCTCTTCCATCAGATTCTAAAATAATAGATGTACCACTAAATAAACCAATTATTAATCCATCAATTCCTATTAATATATATTTAATATAAAATACCTCCTAATGGTCTCTTTAATCTTTTTAAAGAACAAATTGTTAATCTAATGATTCCTACCATTGATGAGAGAAATAATAAAGACTTTAAACAATTTACAGAAGCTCTTTTTATTGTTGTAAAAGGACTATTTAAAATTTTATAATTACTGTGATCTAAGTTCTTTTCTCTTAAATATTAAAATAGGAATAAAGTGCATTGGTATAAAAAATATAGAAAATCGTTTTCCAGTTAATAAGAATCTAAATTCTTTTTTATTTTAATACTTTAATAAGGCAAAAGAAATGCATCCCAATCCTGGATGTTATAGATGACAATCAAGTACTCTCCCTTAGGTCATTGCTTTCTAATATTCTATTGATAAATCGCTCCTATAAGTATATGAATATTTTAATGTACATAATTGTAGTACTTTAGTTAGTCTATAAAATTAATATAGTTTATTTATTTATTAAATGTTTTTTGGATATAATTCAGCTCCTAATTCTAACATTTCTTAGACTTAAAGCATTCTTCATGAATCATAAGTACTTTCACTATAAAGGGAAAGTGAAAATTACATAAGAAAAGTAGAATAAGATAAAAAACATCATTATAATATTGAAGAAACTTGGGTGACAACCAAAAAGGAATGGTAATAAAAGAAAGAATAAATAAAAAAAGTATCATTCTATATAATTCTAGATTTAACATGATTAAACATTGCCAGCTGCTAAACAATAATTAAATAAAATAAAAAATTTATAAAATGCTTTAGAATAATCAATTCTTAAATATAATGAATCATAAACTTAAAATTTAGAGTTGAAAAAATAGATCAATATGTTAAGAAAGGAAAGACATCAATATATAAATATTCATTAAGATTTATAGGAGGAATTATTAAGAATAGAAAATGAAACTGTCACAAATGAAGCATTTCGTAATTCAAATGAAATATAAGCTTAAAAAAAGAAAGAAACTATAGCTGAAATGAAGAAAAAAAATGATTAAGAAAAAGAAAAATATGTGGAATAATTCGATAGATTAAAAAAAGAAGTTATGGAAGAGAAAAAAAAACATGATTTAGATAATTTAGGATTAAAAAAAGAGAAAGCTGCAAATATTGATACAGCTTCTACTTTAAAACTTAGATTAAAGAAATTGATTTCTAATAATAAGGAAAAAGTTAAATTAATAGATACATATTGGAAGAATATGAAAGTTATAGAAGATGCTTTCAATCAAATTAAAGAAGCCTCTGGTATTTAAGATATTGAAGAAATTATGAATACTTTTATTAAAAGTGAAGAATAAAATTATTCTCTTTATAATTATGTTGACATTTTATCTTAATAAATTGATTAATTGTAAGATTAAAATTAAGATTTAAAAAAAAAAATAGATTCTCAAAGAGTAGAAAATGAAAGTAAAAAGAGATTACTTATGGCAACACCATAAGCTGAAAGACATAGAAAAAAAAATGAATTAATTATTAAAAAGAGATAGGAAGAAATTAATACACTCAGAAAATAAATGGAAGAGATTGGTCCTACTTTAAAAGATGCTTTAATTGAATTATCTTAAACATAATTGGTAATTAATATTTTTATTTTATTAAGGCATCTGATCCAACTGCACACTTAGATTATAAATTATCATTTAATCTTAATGAAAGTTCTTTAGAAAAATATTTATAGGATCTTGAAAGATTTATAGATCTTGCAGTTGCTAAGTAATGAATTTTATTATTTTTTTAGAGAAAAGATAGCATAAAATTAAAGTATTGCTTAAAGTACTTTACTATTAGATGAAATTCCCCTTAAAGAATTTAAAGGATCAAATAAACAATTTAATGAAGATGAGTTACTGAAATAAGAGTCATAATAGCAACAATATAATAAATTATTAACATAAAAAGCTCTTAGAGACATGGCCGTTGAAAGTTTAAAGAAAAAAAAGTGAATATTTACATAGAATCATTAAATTTAATTATATAATCTTAATATAACCTGAAGTAGATGATAAATTTAATTATTTTCATAGTTTTTCTAAAAATAAAAAAATATTATATATATATATATATTAATACAACTTTATTTATTAAAACAATTAAATTTTCTTTAAGTGTTTTTTTATTTAGTGAATATCAATAAATGCACATTTATTTTTATGAAATAATATTCATAACTCAAAACTATTGGTCTTAGTTATTTACAGTCTATTCATCATTGTATTTTTAATATTTTTGGTTATTGGCTTAATAATTATTAGTTTACTGATAATTATTTTATTAGTAATTATTTTGATGATAATTATTTTATTAGAAATTATTTTATTGATAATTATTATAATATTTCTTTTAATATTTTTATGGTTATCTTTAATAATTAGGATTTTAATTATATTATTATTAATCATATCCATATTTGTATTAGTTATTATTTTATTGATATTATTATTATTATTATGGATAGTAATATTATTGATAATCATAATTATTGTACTATTGTTTATTATCATTTCTTTAATATCAAAATATATATTACTTATACATTTATTAATTTTAGCCTTAATACTGTGACCCTGCATATTATTAATTAGCAGAATAATAGGCTAAGAAAATAATATGATTAATAAATACCTCGCATGTACATCATTTGATCAGCCTATTTAGTCTACCATCTATGTTAATTTTATCTCTTGTGATAATTTTTGTATTCAAATGGAGATTTTTCAAATAATTATTACTCATGAGATTGTTGGGTTAAGAAATTTTAATCAAGATCTCTTTATTATTTTATTTAATCCTTATTTTAATATTTAAATATACTTCTCTTCTATCCATATTTTAAAATTATTATAACAAGATATTAACATTTGTTTCATCTTCTTATTAATCTTTAAAACATTAAAGTACAAATATTCCCAATCCATTTGTAATTTCAGTACAATCGGTTTGTTCTGTTAAAACTATTGAACCTAGATGTGCTGGTTATTTTTCATCGAGTGTTTTTTATTTTAACTCGTTCAAGAATAACTAATTTAAGATATTGCAAATACGCATTTAATTTAAAATGAGCCAAACCATTTCAAAGGTTCATCCCAATAAAGAAATGTAGCTGTTGGATCAAAAGGGCCAAGTAATTTAGCACAAGCTTAAAAGGCTTTTGTGCCTACAACTGAATAAATTAAGTAAACTTCCTCTGATTCCTTAAATAACTCATCAATCCTTGCATTTGATTTTGGAGTACTATAAAATTTATTTGAATATGTTACCTAGTCCATACTCCATATTTCATTCCTTTATGAATATTATCTAAACTTGCACTTCTCAATATCAAAAATATTGCTTTTTTTGATATTGAATTAAGATTAATTGCTTTATTGAAATCAGCCATTTTTGGATATAGGTTTTATATTTAAGCTACACTCATCACAGCTTATAAAACAGGCTCATCAATTGGATATCCCTAGAAATTTTTATTAAGTTTACCCTTTGTTTGTGGTGTTATTTCATTTCTTTATTATTAATACATAAAAATATTAAATTGATAATTTATTGTAAATTATTATATTATTAATGGTTGAGAACAAAAACTGTAGAAAATATTAATTTGTAAGATCTAACAAATAGTAACATCTTCAGATTGCTTTAATAAAATTTGAACATAATAATCTACATGAATGTTTCTTTAAAAAATGAAATTTCTGAATCATTTTTAAAAAAATTAATTGATACTTCTATTTTTATAATGTTTTTAGGTTTTTGTATATATTTTGAAATTAATTCATTCAATTATTCATAAATAAAGCAGAATGCATATGAAAAAAAAGATAGAGAAAGAGAGAGTAAATTACAAAACCCTATATGCTTCTTTTGTTATTTAAATTAAGATAATTATGGATGATGATATGGTTCACATTAATTAGACATTTTAATATATTATCATTGTACTTTCCTCATTTTAACAATTAAGCTTTGCTTTTGAAAATTATTTCTTTTAAAACATAGAACATAATGGATTTAAGAATTTTTTTATGAATATTTCTACATTTACAAGACCTTATGTAATGTTACCTAAAAATTTTGGAGTTTTTTCATTTGTTATACCTTTGACACTTTTATTTTTATATGAAGCCATAATTTTCTATATTTTCATTTGTTATGCTAGATGTAAGAAATAAAAGAGGATATCTGAGATTCTCTTGCAATAAAATAGATTATTTTAAATTATATTGAGAGTCTATTCTTATAAATAAGCATTGTTATATTATTTAATATTTATTCCTTAATTAGAATTAATAACATCATCAATTTAATATTATTCATAAGAAGAACACTTAAATTTAGTGGCTTTACCTATTTCAATTATATCTTTTATTTTAATCATTTTGAATTTGATATTTTACTTAGTTTGCATCCAATAATCTAATCATATAAAAGTGAGAAATTTAAATATATTATCATAATCCTTTAATCATTTTTTAAATCCAATATATTCAATTCTAATAGTATGTTTAAATCAATTTGAAACTAGTAATAAGCCATTAAGATTTTATTTAATTGTAACAATTTTATTAGTAAAATCAGCATTTAATATCTATAGTATTTTTGCAACATTTTAACATCTTTATAAACGATGCATAATTGAATTATTTTCAGAATGTTTTTAATTTGCAATGTCCTTAATATTAATGTTTATTCAATTATCATAATTTAAGTCTGAATATAAAGATTATGAAACTGCTTTAATTCTTATAATTATACCAATTGCAACCTTTGTTCCCTTAATTTTATATAATAATCTTCATTATAGTATTATCCTAAATAATAATCAAATGATGGCTAGTTATTTAATGTTGTATAAAATTGGTTCAATAATTGATGAATTTGGAGATATAAAACATTCCTATTTACATGATAATTGTAAAATAATACAAATTATTTATTTCAAATAAGTTCATTTACAACATTGTTCAATACCAAAATGTTTATGTACTCAACAATAATTAACTTTTGAGTAAATTATAAATCTATATTTAAAAGATTAAGTTAATTACTTTAATATAACAATAAATAAGCTTAAATAATAATCTATTAAATAATTATACTTTTTAAATTATCTATCTCTTATCCATTATCTAGGATTAAGTACAAGAGCATTTCAATAATCAAATATAGTAATATATCAAGATAGTGAAAATTTGTAAATATAAAATATTAGATTATTATAGTTCATCTTAATTCAGCAAAGTATTAATTGCAAAACCTGGAAGTTAAAAAGCTGGATCTAGTAATAGTTTGGATCAATAGAACAGTTCTGTTTAAAAATCAAAGACTGATAGTAAACCTGATGAATTGATTCACATAAAGATCTAGAATATGGGATTTATATATAAATAGAGATTGATCTTAATGTAAGAATTAATTAAGAAGACTATGAGTACTGGATTAGGTAAATAGAGTAATTAAATATTATCTGATAATCTTGAACATGCTGTTAAATTATTTTTAAATTCAGAGGAAAGTAATAAGAAATTGAAAAATAAGATAATAAAAATGATTAATAAAAAGAAGGATTTCTTTATTAACTTAACTTTATCAAATTCTAATTTTAATTTATTTAATTCTGCTAAGTAAATGATTATGAAATTAACATTACTTGAAGATGAACTATTAAAATTATATTTCTAATTTCCAAGTAAATATATATTTATATTAATTTTAAAGGTAGGAAAATGTAAGCACTCAATACGTTTTATTAATCAGAAGTTATGAATAATTATTTTTAAGCTTTTAAATTAGCTACAGTAACATCAATTTCTGATGAAAAACTATTTAAAATGTAATCTTAAATCAGTTTTGATATGTTTTCAAGCAAATTAGATTATATAATAGTAGGATTTGATGAAAAATCACATAAATTACAAATTCGATAATGTTCTAATTAGATTCATGAATTTTTTGGATATAATTAGGAAAAATTTAAATTAATCAAAACTATTGATCATTTACTTCCAAATAATTTTGACTCAATCCATTAAAAGTTTGTTTAACATTTTCTATCATCTGGTCATTCAAAATTCTATCGTTAAATAGATTAAAATTATTGTAGATTTCAACAGAAATTTATTAAATAAATTGATTTTTTCTTTGATATCAATGTTAGTAATTTAGAAGATTTAACATTTGCTTGTTTTTTTTAAAATAAAGATAATTAAAATGCTTTTATGTTTTGTTGTAATAATAATAAAATTTAGAGTATTAGCAAAAATTTTGTAAATAAAATAGGATATCCAATTAAATTAATTACAACATTAATGGAAGCACTTAATAAATAACCATTATCAAAAATCTTTCCTAAATTGTAAATGGTTATGGAGATGAATGCTACTAAATTTTCATATGATAATGATGATTTTGAATAAGATGTAATGGATTAGAGTGAATGTTAAATTCATATGAATTTACCAGAAATTGATAGTTTAATTAAAAATTAAAAATATAATTGGGATAATGAAACAAATTGTTAATAGTTTGTTGTAGATGCTGTATTTCATTATAGAAAGTTGAAATAAGATATATCTAGTAATTATGTAATAGTAGAGATTAGAGAGGCTAAAAGGTATATGAAGAGTTTTAGTACACCATAATAAACTGAAAATGTTACTCCAACACCTGGAGCATCTTAAACTTACTTTTAAGATAATTTAGATGATTTTGAAGATTTGGAATTTTTTGAATAAGATGAATTTTTAGCTAATATCCCAAGAGCATTAGAATTTGATTAAACATAAAATTAAAATTAACTTATGAATTTTGAATAAGATTAATCAGAGAGTGATGCTTAATTTGGTAGAAGAGCATTTAAAAATTAAAAGAATTAAAGTTAATCATTTTATCCAAATGTTTCTTTAGTAAGCCCTAAGGATGTAGGTTAAAAATTGATATGTAATGAAGGAGGATTATATGAAAGTAATAGTAGAAGAAATCATGATGCTAGATAGTAATTTTTTTCAGCTGTTGATTAAAAAGATGCTTCATCAAATGCAGAAGAAGAGAGTGTAAATGAGAATGATAAAGAAATGAAACATGAAAATTAGATTGATAAATTATAATTAGATGATATTGATTAAGAATTATAAGAGAATATAAAAATGTAAATGTAATTAGAAGAATAGAATCAAAATGTTGTTTAAATTGATGATATTGGATCATAAGTTAGTTCAATTGCTGCTTTTAAAAAGTCAAAATATTCTAAGAAATATGATTTAATTTAAAAATTGATAACATCTGAGAAATTCTCAAAACATTATTATATAGCTAGAATATTCTTAACAATTTTATTTTTGTTATTCATTATTTTTTCAATTGTTTAAATGATATTTTCATCTGATGATTTAAATAGATTTTTATAAGAATTAGATATGGTTCAAATAAAATCAAATATAGTAGCTCCAATTGATAATTATATTGTAGCTTAAAATGCTGTGATGTTTTATGCAATTTTGAATATGATTGGAATGATGAATAAATCAACTGCAGCTATTAAATTAGAATATGCAAAAAATGATATAAGTTACAATTATGAAGAATTAAAGTCTAGTTATATAAAGTAATTATCAAATTAATATTTAAATCCTTTTTTTGAGGATAAAAATTTTACAATAATGTAATCTGAATAAACAACAACATCTAATAGAAATGTATCAGCAAGAGAAGCAATTTATCTTTCTTTAGAAGCAGCTTATTAATTTGTATTGCTAGATTATTTAAATATATTTACTTCCTTAGATCCTACATCTGGATTTTTTGTGTATCTATTTGGAAATTATTAGACTTTTTATGATTAATTAACAATAGTAAATTAAGATATGTTATCTTATTCAGTATAAAGATCAAAAACAGTTAAGGATAAATGGTTATCTTTAATGATTCCTACTTTGATTATAGGTTTTCTTTTATTATTAATAGTTGTTAAATTCCATAATTTCTATTTACAATAATATGATCAATTTATTTAATTGTTCTCTATGTTGGAATTAGTATGGGTATAAAGAGACATAGATAGATATAAAGGCATATCTTCATTAGTAATTAAAGATTCTGATGTTTTATTCAAATATTAATTTGATATTGATTTGAAAGAGAAGTTCCTAGCTGCTGAAGATATAAGAAAAGAAAAGATAGCTTAAAATTAGAAAGCACATAAATAAAAATAAAAAGCTACAAATTTAAATTTTGATCAAAAAACTACAAAAATACCATCATTAGTAATTTATTCAACAATATATGCTTTATGTTTTGGATTATGTTTTATATCAACATCTTTGGGAGAATCATATTTTTCAAAATATCCAGATACTACAAATTTCTTTAATACCTTATGTGATGTAAGTATAGCATCAACTGGAGTATTTAGTTTAAGATAGATTATATATGTAGCATCACCCAAAGATTAATAAGCATTTTTTTTTATTAAAGATACTGCTTATTTTATTAAAATATTTTTCTAACATATAGATACAATAAATGAATTTCTGGCATAAATGTCAGAATTTGATCCATCAACTTTAATAACATCAGATGCATTTATAAATAAGATCGAATAACTTATGTAAAATGATGTTTGTGAATTTCTTCCAGAAGTAATTAGTCTTATCATATATTATTAGTTTAAAAAAGAAAGTGCCTAAATTCATTGTGATGCTGTTTATGATGGTGTTGTTAGAAGAGGATTTCAACTCTCCTTAAATACTGTTAGAAATGAATTACTTAATGAATTTAAAACTTCTTAAAATTTTAGTGTTTAATCATATTCACTTAATGAATAACTTGAGATAGGTCTTATCAATTATGATGCTGTTTCAAATATCAAATTATAATTTTAGGATGAACTTGTACGATTTACAAATAATCTTATTGATTAGATATTGGTACAAATTATGATTAATTTTAGATTATTAATATTTGTGCTATTATATTTTATATTATATCTATTGGAATGATGTATAATATGGTTACTTAATTGTATTACTAAGAATTCAAATTAGTACTTAAGTTTATATTATTAATGCCTTAGACTTCATTGTTTTTAGATAATCAACTTGATAGAACTTTAAAATAAATTATTATTAAGCATAATTTAACTTGAAATATTAACATATAAATTATTACATATAATTATCATTCTTTACTTTTCTTAAAAGGAGTCAAATTCTTTTACTCATAATTTAGAGATGATTATGAAAATAATTCTGATTTTCTTTATTTAGCTGATTAAATAATGGTCTTAACATTATTATATTCTTTTCTGAGAATTTTTTATAAATAAGATTTTCTTGCTAATTCAAAAATTGCTTAACCATTTTTAACTCCTGTTTAAATAGCCATCATAGCAAAAACAGATTCTTTATCAATTCCTTATGAAGTTTTTGGATTCATAACTAATAATTCAAAAGGATGGCCTTACTCTAACACTTTTCCTTCTTCTAATACAAGAATCTTATCATAATCTGCAATAGTATTTAGTCTGTGAGCTATAGTAATTATAGTGCAATCATTAAATTTCTCTTTAATTGTGCTTTGAATGAATGAATCTGTAGCCATATCCACATTAGCTGTAGCTTCATCTAAAATTAAAATCTTTTTTTTATTCAATAAAACTCTAGACAAACAAATAAGTTATTTTTAGCCAATTGAAAATAAATCAGGTTAAACTTCAGATTATAATTAATTTGGAAGATCTAATACATAATCTTACAAACCAGTTTCTTTAAGAACTTTCCAAATTTTTGAATCATCAAATAAATACAATGGATCTAAATTTTCTCTGATTGTAGCTCTAAATAAAAATGGTACTTATGGAATTATAGCAATTTCTTATCTAAGTTTTGCTAAACCTATCTCTCTAATGTCATAATTATCAATAAAAATATTACTAAAAATTAAATTTAAATATTATACCCATCAGGTGTTATTTCTGCCATTCTTAAAAGAGCTTAAATTATAGAGGATTTACCAGCTCCTGTTCTACCAACTACTCCTACCTTTTCACCACCTTCAATTTTAAAACTCATTCCTTTTAATATGAAAGGCATGTCTGGACGATATTTCATTTCTACTTTTTAAAATTAAATAGTTCCAGTTTCAGGCCAACCAATAACTGCTAACTCATCATCAATTTAATGAGTAAGTTAAGCTTCCAATTAAATATCACAAATTTCAAACATTCTATTTACACTATTCATTATTGAATCAAAAGCCATAAATTATCTAAGTGTACCAGCTTAAGTATTGAAAGTTGATAACAATAAAAGTGCCTATGAAAATAATGTAGGATCTTCAATCATAGCAATAATAAGAAATATTCCTGCAATATTAGTAAATTAACCAAATATATCTATATAAAATCCAAAGCACCTTTAAGAATAAGAAAACATTAAATTAGCTTACATTGATTAATTACAAAGTTAATAAAATTATTCTCTAATCCAATGTTAACTTTTATTAATTCTTATTTAAGTAATTCCATATAAACAAACCTTAAATTAATCAAATAATGGAGATCTTTATATTAAATCACAAATTTTCAATTAAGACACAACTTATCGAGTAATAGAAAAAATGATTATAGTCATACTAATAGTAAACACCAAGGGAAAAGTAAAGAATGGTTGTAAAATAGCTATAGTGACAAGGGAGACAAGGAATTAAGATCCTTATTCAAAAATATCAGTAATAATTTATTGAATTTAATTATCTGCTAATGATAAGTCAGTAGAAAATCTATTAATTAATCTTCCTGATGGATTAGTATCAAAGTAACTTATAGGTGCTCTAATTAATCTAGAGAGCATTTCATTATGAATCTTATTATTAGAAATAAGAACTCCAATTATATTTAAGAAATATTTTACTATATTATTACAATAAGCAGCCAAAACTAAGAGACCAGCATTTAAAAATAATTAATTATTAGCTTGTCTATCTGTTTCATCATATAATGCCATTTCTCTATAATAATAATTGTTTATAATTTCAGTAGCTACATTTTAACCAATAATAATAAATATTAAAAAGATAGGTGTCCAATAACTGAAATATCTTTTATAGGTTTTCCATCCAGCATCTGTTTAATTTAATTCTTCTCTTTAAAACAGTTAGACTATTTCTTTCTTTTCAACTTTTTCTTATTGCTTATTTAATAGAGTAGCTAATCTTGTTTATTTTCTGACTAATTATTTTTTAACAGGTTCAACAATATCAGAATTAAATAAAGCTAAAGTTTCTTTGACTTATTTATAAGTTCCTTGATTTACAATTGTACCTTTATCTAAAATAATTACATAATCACATTCTAAAGCGAATTGTATTTAATGAGTTGATAATATAACTGCTGGAATTTATGGCATATATTATTAATGAAATTTAGTATTCTTTTCTAATTAATATTATGGTTAGAATTTAAAAATAAAATCTTTTATTGCATATGTGAATATTTTCCTTGCTACTTTAGCATCAACTGCTGATAATGGATCATCAAATAAATATAAATCAGGCAATGCATAAAGAGCTCTTGCTAAACTTAATCTAGCTCTTTATCCTCCTGATAAATTAGCACCTTTTTCTCCTATTTATGTTTTATCTCCATCCTAAAATGATAATACATCTTAATCTAAACATGAAACTTGCATTACTTTTCTATACAATTCATGTTCAAATTCTTTACCAAACAAAATATTTTCTCTTACAGTTCCTGTATATATAAATGGATCTTATTCAACAAATGAAATTTTAAGTTTCTTTTTTACATAGAATTCTCCATCTATTTAAGGTAACTCTTCTAAAATTGATTATAATAATGTAGTCTTTCCAGAACCAACCCTACCTATCAATCCTATTAATTATCCTGGAAAAACTTCCAAATTTAAATCTGATAATACTGGAAATGATCTTGGTTTCCATCTCAAATTTACTTCAACCATTGTAACATATGGAACCCTCTTAATTACACAACTTTATTTCTTTATTTAGTTAGCTGCTGTATTAATTTTACCATTCACATTTATAGTATTAGATTTTCTTATTACTTAATTTGGAGTCTCAATATTTGTTAACAAAATTCTTTTCTTTTCACTATTTGATCCATTTGAAGTCATAATTTAAACCACTCTTTTAAATATAACATTCAGATTCATGAATGCTTAAAATGCATATGAAACTTAAAAAACACAATAATATTTGATCATGGACATCAATTAAATAGTTCCAACAATTGAGGAAACATCAATATAAATATCATTAAAATAAATGATTAATAAAAATAAATATGATCCCCAAATATGTACACTGTAATTAAAAGATCTATCAATTAAATTTAGAAAATGAATTTTAAAATAGTTGAAAACTTCTTGTCTTCTAATTGCTTAAATTTTATCTTAGAATGCCTTTTCCCAAACATACATTTTTATAAGTCTTATACCTTCAATTAATTAATTTTAAAAAGATATTCGATTATCTTATTTGAGTTTAACTTAAGTCAAAACTTTCTAGACACTTTTTTAGATTAAAATTTGCAAAGGATAAATAATGATACAAATTAGTATTGCAATCAATCCTATTGGCCCATTGAATCTTAACTACATAAAAAATAATATGATTACCCATAATATTACTGATGCAAAAATGATAGATCCAGGAATAATTGCTATTGCATATACAAAATTTAATTAAAATTCAATTGCATTTATATCTCCACTTACTAAATTCATAATATTTCCAACACTAAATTCTTTAATTTCATATGCTTTTAATTCTAAAATTCTATCAAATATAAAATTAGTTAATATCATTCTCATTTTAGTTGAGAAATTATTTATTGTATATCTAGATTATATAATAAAATAATGTACAATTAATAATGTTTACTCAATAGAGCTACTAGTGATAAAATAGCTAAGGCAAGTGCTTAATAGAAAGCATTTGTCTAATTTCCATCTTTGACAGCAGTAATAAGAGTTTGAGTTAAAATAGCCATAACAAATCTTGAATAAGTTTCGCACATAGCTAACATAACAATTTTGAAAGTTAACCATTTATTATCTCCAAAGAAGAAGATTCGAAATAATGAAAAAGATGTAATTTACTCTGAAATCTATAATTAACATATTTAATTACTTTAAGATTAAATAACTTTTTTGCCTTTTGATAATTGGGTTATATTGTATCTTCGAAGTCTTAGACTGGAAGATGACTTATACCTAATGTAATTTTTTAATCAGAAATCAATTATTAAATTCTTCTCATATATGAAAATACATGCAACAGTAAAATTTAAGAAAAAGTTGAGAAATTTTAATAAATAGTAGACTAATAAAATAATGATGGAGTTGATGTTTTAGTATTTGTAATAGATTCTGGAACTACTTTTCGATTTGTGCTTTTACTAAATATTTCTAATAAGCCTTATTCTGTTCTTTATGTTTACTCAATGCTCGTTAATTATGTAGTTTATGGTTGATGCTTTAAAATCATCTAATTCTCTTATTTTAGATAAGTAGTGTCTTTGCTTACAATGTATTGATTCTCTTAGTCTTACTCTTCAATTTATTCTGAAGGTTAGGATCGAGGTATATTTGGTTCATGCATAATCATTTCATGACTATAAACTTATGCAAAATCAATATTATTTGAAGGAGAATCTTCATCAGAGTTATTTCCACTTTATACATCATCATCTGATTGACCATTATATGCTTTTACAAAATCTAAAAGTGATGTTTACAGTATAGTTTAAGGATGTGATTCTAGTGCTTACTAAGCTAGTATGTATTTTACTTATTCATCATTTTATTTAGATCCGCTATTAAATTCTGTTTTTCCAAGAGATGGTTATCTAGCAAATTGTGATTTATGGTCTTTTTTAATCATATTTAATATGTATTTTGAAAAATTGATATTGAAAACTTAAATATACTGATCATTAATTATAGAAATTCAAATATATCTCACATGGAGTGCTAGTAATTTAATATTAATTGAAACACATGATGTTTAATATTACAAATTATTTAATTTTATAATGAGTCAAAATGAAGAAAATAATAAAATTTCTGAGGAATCAGAATAAAAAGATGATTCTGAAGAAGATGAAGCTGAAGATAAAGAAAATCAATAGAGATAAGAAAATTTTGGAAAAGATGAACATGATGTAGTATAAGTTCACAAATCACCAATTTAAGTGAAAAGGTAAGTTTTAAAAAGAAAGAGTACAATGAAGGCTGAAGATATGTTTGGCATGAATTTCTTTAAATTTTAATATTATGTAAATTAAGAAGAATTAGGAATTCGTAAAAAAAATTAGAATTCATAAACAGGTGATAGATTGGAAGAACATAATTTTTATATGCATGAAAAAAAATATAGTTTTGGTAGAGATTCATTGTTTATCTTAAAGGAATCATACATAATTAGAAAATATTGTGTTTGGATTGTAACTTGGCATTGGTTTGATAAAGTTATTACTTTAATTATTGTACTTAATACTATATCTTTGGCAATGTAAAATTATGATTTTAGAGTTAATGGAACTTCAAATCAATCAGAATTGACATATATTAGAAATTAAATGGAATACTTTTTTACTTCGGTATTTTTATTAGAATTCATTCTAAAAATATTAGCTATGGGATTCTTATTTGAAAAACATACTTATTTAAGAGATGGTTGGAATGTATTAGATTTTGCTGTTGTAGGAACTAGTATACTTTCTTTAGTTGGCAGCTTTAATCTTAGTGCAATCAGAACTATCAGAATTTTGAGACCTTTAAGATCCATTAAATCAGTACCAGGTTTAAGAATTCTAGTAGCTTCTTTATTAGATTCTTTACCTAATTTAGGTAATGTCTTAGTATTCTTGTTATATCTATTAGTCATCTTTGGAATATTAGGATTGTAATTATTTGCAGGTGCTTATGAAAATAGATGTAGATTTACATAATTTCCAGTTAATGGTACTTGGTTAGCTGATCCATTAATTACTCATTTATGTAGTTCAGATTCAGATTGTCCTGAAAATGAGTTTTGTGGTAATCCTATTAATTATAATCTCCCTAATTAAGATACTCCAATTCCTGAATTAAATTATTCATACACTACTTTTGATAATATATTAACTGCTACTTTTACCATCTTCTAAGCTCTTACTACAGAAGGATGGTCTACAATTGTTACTTAATTAATTGATGCTGTTAATCCAATTTTGGTTTACATATATTTTAATCTATTAATTATTATAGGATCTTTTTTTACTATTAATCTTATTCTAGCAGTTATTAATGATTCTTTCTTAAAAAATCAATCAGAGAGAAGATAAGAATTATTAAAAGAGGAATAACAAAGAAAACAATAGAGAAAAGAAAAGAAATAAAAAGAAAGATAAAATGCTTAGATTCATCCAACCTAAAATATTGCTGATTTAGTACCTTCAGATGATTCTGATTCAGATGAAGAAGCTTAAAAGAAAAAAGAAGAGATAATTAAACAAGTTTTGAAACCTACAAAATTTTAAGGAAGAGCAGAATAATTGAAAATATTACAAGATTAATTCAATAGGAAAGCAAAAAAAGAAAAATAATAAATGAACTTTTTTGATCCATCTTTATACACTTTAGATGTAAATGATGATAAAGGTACTAATTTTGATACTAAATTTAAATAATTTTTCTTAAGATTTATTGAATCATTGGCATTCACTATAATAGTTAATTGCATTATAGCTGCTAATACTGTAGTATTGGCTATGGATAGATATCCTTAACCACAATCAGAAATCATAATATTATCATATCTCAATTTGGCATTCACTTTATTTTTTGTCTTAGAAATGATATTGAAATTCTTTGCTTTAGGAATAAAAGAATATTTCAAAGATTATATGAATATATTTGATGCTTCAATTGTGGCAATATCTTTGGTGGAATAAGTATTAGACTTTGCTTAAATCTCTGTATCTGGAGGATCTATAACAGCTGTTTCAGCTTTTAGAACTTTGAGAGTTTTCAGAATATTCAAATTAGCAAGATCTTGGAATTCTTTAAGAGAAATTCTTATAGCTATAGCAACAACTTTAGAAGCTATCAGTTTTTTTACAATGTTATTACTATTATTTATGGTAATAGCATCATTAGTAGGTATGGAATTATTTGCTTATAATATACCAAATGTAAGATTGAATTTCAATACATTCTTTGATGCAATGATTACCATATTTGCTTTATTAACATCAGAATCATGGAATATTTAAACTTATTTATATATGTATAAATCAGATCAATGGTGGCCTTTAATCTTTTTTATTAGTGTTGTGATTATGGGAAATTTAATTCTTTTAAAATTATTTATAGCAATCTTAATCTATAATTTTGGTTAAAAATCAATTGAAACTGAAAAGAAATTATAGGACAAAATGAGAAAATTGAATTTTCAATAATTAGTAGAGTAATTTAAATCATCAATAAAGATTTATGATCCTGAAGAAAAAATTAAACATAAATCACCAAAACCTGAAGAAGTACATCCTGAAACTTAGAAGATAATAAAAATAAATTAAAATTATATAGGATAACATTAAAATTCTGATGTTGCTTGTTTTTTTTTAGCAAAGTATGATTAAGCTAGATTTGAAGTAAGAAAAGAAACTAAATAAAAGAAATTAATAAAAAGATTTTTTGATACTGCTGAAATAGTAGATCCAGAAGAAATTAGTGATGATTCTTCAGGTGATGAAGAATATATAAAATAAATGGAATAAAAAATTTAATTTTAAAGTTAAGGACCATTGACGTTTTAAGATGGATATTAAACTTAGGTTTCTCTTCATCAATCTTCATAATAATTTGATAAGAAAACAAGTGTTTTTAGTAAACATGAAACATCATCTGGTTAGGATAATATAGAGGGAGTACTTATAGTAGGAACTTCACTTTTTATTTTTGAATAATCATCTAAAATTAGAAGATTTGCATTTAGATTTATTAATAAATCATAAGTTATTGGATTTATTATTTTAATGATTTTAGTTTCATCTGTTCTTTTAGCTTTAGATGATCCTTTAGAAGAGAATAATTCAGAAGTTTTAAAAGAAATAGATTTAGTTGTTACAATAATATTTACAACTGAATCATTATTAAAAATATTAGCATATGGATTTTTATTTAATGGAGAATATAGTTACATGAGAGATTATGCAAATGTATTGGATTTCTTAGTTATTATTTTTAGTTGGGTTAGTATATTTTCTGAAGCAAATTTATAAATATTTAAAATTCTTAGAATTTTTAGAGTATTACGTCCATTAAGATTGGTATCAAGAAGTGATAGTTTAAAAATAGCAATTAATGCTTTGATTCTTAGTTTATCGAAGATTTTCAATTTGATATTAGTTAGTTTAGTCTTTTATGGGATGTTTGGAATATTTGGTACTAATTTTTTTAAGGGAGCTTATTATTCTTGTGATATTAATAAGGTTGGTGAATATCAAATAATTGGAAAGTATGATTGTTTTGATTATGGTGGTAATTGGGTTAATGCAGATTATAATTTTGATAATGCTCTTAATTCAATAAGTTCATTATTTGTAATTTCAACAACTGAAGGATGGTTAGAATAAATGTATTAAGGTATAGATAGTGTTGGTATTGATTTACAACCAATATATAATTATAATATGTATTGGTCATTATTTTTTATTGGATTTGTAATTATTGGATCATTTTTTGTTATGAATTTATTTGCTGGTGTTGTATTAGATGCATTTAATTCTGAAACAGACAAATTACGTGGATATTTTTATATGACTTTAGAATAATAAGAATGGGTAGATATAAAAGAAAGAATATATTATGCAAAACCATCAATTAATTAAAGAAAGAGTGATTAATGGTTAAGAGCTAAAATGTTCTTAATAATAAATCATAAATATTTTGATTCCATGATTTTTATTCTAATTACAATCAATACTATTTTATTTATGTTACAACATGTTAGATAACCTGATATATTAAATACTATTATATAATATTCTAATTTATGTTTTTTGTGTATATTCACAACTGAAATGATAATAAAATTAATAGCATTAGGATGGTAATATTTTGCAGAACCATTTAATAGATTTGATTTTGTTGTAGTAATCTTAAGTATAGCAGGATCTGTTTTAGAATAAATGTCAATATTAACAACTTTTGGTACAGTAATAAGTGTTTTTAGATCTTTTAGAATAGTAAGAATTATGAGATTAATTAGATCAGCAAGAAGTCTCAAAGCTATATTTGAGACATTCTTTCTTACAGTAAGTTAATTAGCTAATATTGGTGGATTATTATCAATTATTTTATTTATGTTTGCTGTTTTAGGAATAAATCTTTTCCCATATGTAAAATGGTCAACTAATGGTTTAACAGGTTCTATAAACTTTTCTACTTTAGGTAAAGCATTTTTCACTTTATTTAAATGTAGTACTGGTGAATATTGGGATTAAGTTTAAGCAGATTTAGTGAGATAAATGACACCTAATAATGTGTGTTTCTCTGAAAATCTATTAATTGATTATTAAGAATATGGTTTTAATGGTTGTGGATATTGGTATGGAGTTGTTTATATGGTGAGTTTTTAAATGATATTTGCTATGATAATGCTTAATTTATTTGTTGCTATTATTGTTTAAGGATATGAAATCATATAAAAAGATGAAGCATCATCTATATCTACTAATCATATATAGGCTTTTATTGAAATTTGGAAATTATATGATTAAACTGGTTCTGGATTGATAAGAGCATTAGAGTTGGATCGTTTTTTAATTAAATTACCTAAACCTTTAGGAGTAATTAATCATATATAAATATTTAGTGGAAAGGATTATTGTTAACACAAATGGAGAAAAGAAAAGTAATAAATTAATATAGATTACCAGTCTATATACAAAATTAAACAGCCATGTATTTTTTTTATGATGTTTTGGAAGTATTGTCTCATAATATTCTAACAAGGAAATATGGAGATGATACTGAGTAAGATTTATTTAATTTATTTATATTAGATTAGATCCAAAAAAATTAGTAAAGGCTACTAAAGATTTGATTAAGAAAAGATTATAATTAATTGAATAATTGAAAAATGTAAAAACTTGTGCTTGGACAAGTGAAGATATTAATAGTGCTTTTATTATAATGAGAAGAATGAAATGGAAATTAAATGAATTGAAGGAAAAAAGAAAGAATTAAGTTCATATTATAAGAGATCTTTCAAGTGTATAAAGTAGTGAACAAGATGACTCACCAGATTAAACCTAGAGACCTATTTAACTCAATACTTAAGGAATACATTCTAGTCGTTAAATTAATATGGATTCTTGATTATATAATCGTTATTTTAATAATAATAAAGAGTCAATATTTATATACTTTTAATTTCATTACATTAGGACTTAAAGATATACCACCTTTCTATATTTATATCTACTTTTAATTATAATAATCTTAAAATTGGAACTTAGAATTATAATGATGACTCGATTTCACTATTGTTCTTTAACTGTTAGATAATTTAAGAATTGGAAATTATCTTCCTCCTTTATTCATCATTATAGGACTACTACTTCTAAATGTTATGAATGGATTATTTTGTTATTCATCATTATGAAAAAAATGAGTACTACATCCAATTTGTCTAGTTGGTGTTTCTAATAAAGATGGACTATTTTATCTTTAATTCTCTGTTAATCCTTTATGAGATTTAAGGAATATTTCAAATAAACTATTAAATCTTGGTATATTAGATTTTGGTCCTAATTTTCTTTTAGATTATTCTATCATTGTATCCATTTTTTATTTTATCAATTAATTTCTACTTTTATAATTATCATTTTTAGATTCTTTATTTCTACAAGTCTTTATACATTCTTCCTGGATCTCTTTATCTTATTCACATGATGTCTTTATTTAAAAAAATCTTGGATATTTAAGATGAGTATTTTATTCTTAATGAACTTTAAAATTGACATAAGAATTAATTTCTTACATATGTTTTTCCAAATCCTATGTATGTCCTTCGAATATTTTCTCAATCAAAGATGTTCTGTGTATTTTGTAAATTTATCCTTTAGGACTGAGACAAATAATTGAGTATTCATATGGTATTTTATTAAAGAGATGATAAAATCCAAATACTTATAATTCTCCAATCTCAAATAACTAATATAATTGAAATACATATTACTATTAAAGGATGTTATTTATTCATTAATTTACGCACTTAAAATAGACCTGCTTTAACAATGAGAAAACTATCTGATTTGTCTCCTTCTTATAATACAGTTTAATGTTTTTCATATTCATAAAGAAATGAATTCAAATAGATTTAAGTTAATTGAGCTCTATTTAATTAATTAAATATTGAAATCTAAGCAAAATAATCAACATTCTATAAAGATGATAATAATTTATACTTATTCTATCTTTTTTGTTTATTCATAATGCAAAATTTATTAAAACTATTGTTTATCTAAAACAGCAAAACAACAATCATTAACACAACGAATAGTTGCTAATCTAGGTTATCTATGAATGAGAGCCAATTCTCCAAAAGATTCTCCTTGTCTCAGAATTCTTACAGATTCTAATTCATCAAAACCTCTTCTCTTAATCAAAACCTCTACTTGACCATCTAGAATCACATAAAATTTAGTGCCAATCGAATCTGCATTATTAATAGAGTCTCCATACCAACATGAAATACAATATCAGTTGCTAAGAACCGTTCAACAAACATGTGTTTACAACATTCTCGATGTATTAATAATCCATTTTCTTATTTGTAATATTATTTAAAAAAAGGAAGTTCTTAAGTAAGATGAACTAATAGATCAATTTCCATTTTGCATCGATGTTGTGGTTATTTTTTCAATAAATGCAATGCTTCAGCCAAGTGATCTTCAAGCATATATAACAATTTAAATATAAAAATAAATTAGTCAAATTGTGTTGCTAATAAAAGTCTATTGTTTTTGATAATCAAGTATTTATTAATTTTAAATCAAAATGTCCTAAATACCATTATCTAAATATCATTTGCTTACTAAAATTGGTTAAGGACTTTATGGAGACGTTTATAAAGCCAATATATTAGGAACTGATTAATATGTTGCAGTAAAGAAAATACGCATATATGTAAGTTGATATAAATTTATAAAAGGATGTTTCTGTTGGAGTACCAATAACAGCTTTAAGAGAAACATCACTCTTACAACGTATTTAACATTAAAATGTTGTAAAGTAATTCAAATTTACAATATTGATTAGAATACTTGAAGTTGAAAAAATACATGGTTAAATAAGAGTAGTTATGGAGTACTTAAAATTAGATTTATAATAATACTTGAATGAAAATAAAGACAGATTAAGTGTAGAATTGCTTAAAGTAATACTTTTACTATAATAGAAATTCATGCATGATATTTTATCAGGAGTTGGGGCATGTCATAGATTAAATTGTATACATAGAGATATATAACCAAAAAATATACTTATTTAAGATGATGGTATAATATTATCAAATCATAAAATAAGGAACTCTAAAGATCGGAGACTTTGGAAGTGCTAGAGTATTTCAAAAGTTTCCATAGTTTTTCACTTCAGATGTTTGTGATTTATGGTATCGAGCTCCAGAATTATTACTGGGATCAAATTATTACACAATAGCTATAGATATGTGGGCTATAGGATGTGTATTTGCTGAACTTATACTTAAATAACCTTTGTTTTAAGGTGAAAATGAAATTCATTAAGTCAAATTGATCATTCCTAATGTATAATCATTTTAGACTGTTGTAATTATCATATCTTTATTTAGAATCTAAATGATCCTAATCTATAAATATAATTTAATGGTATCATTACTAATAAACTCTAAAACCTAATTAATTAAGATGGATTAGATCTTATATTAAAATTGCTGAAATTAGATCCAGAATAAAGAATATCCTGTTCTTAAAGTCTTTAGCATGTAATTGTTTTATTTTTACTCTTAGTCCTTCTTTAGATGATCCATATTTAAATTTCTTAATACTATAATAATAATATTATATATATATATATTTCTACTATCTCTCAATTTCATAGAATGATATTCAATAATATTATTTCATTAATTACAAAAATTAAGAAATAAATCAAAGAAATTTAATTAAAATGATAAAACCAATGAAAATGTACATTAGTTCTGAAAAAATACATGTATTTAAATTGATTTAAATAAGATTGTACCAGACCCCTAAATATGTGGATTTGATAAGTCTCTTACAATAGATAAATAATATTTTACAATTTAAGTTAATTAAACTATGATTGAATCAGTCATATAAGAAATAGGAATTTTTGGAATTGTAGGTGTTTATAGATTTTATGGCAAACTTAACTTACTTTATATAGCTGAGGCAAATTAGGTTTGCAAAATAAATGGTTAAATTATATATGAAATAGTTTCGATATCAAATATTTTATAGAATCAATTTTCTTCTATGGAGCAATAAAGCATTAAAAATATTGAAACCTATTTTAGTAAATGCACATATTTCTCATTATAATATGATTTGACAATACCATTATCATAATAACATCAACCTGAATAAAGTGAAAGGAGTATGAGATTTTGGTGGAATTTTCATGGTTATAAAACTTTTTTGGCAAATTCTATTCCAAAGTGTTGGTGCATTAAAATAATTTAAGGGTATGTTGGATTAGGATTGTGTGAAATCAAAACTCAATAAAAATAGAAACTTACATATATTTTAATTTCAAGAAGAGAAACTCTAAGAGGAGGGACTCGATATAATCATAGAGGATTAAATAATGATGGTGCAGCAGCAAACACAGTGGAAACAGAATAATTAATTGAGTATTAAGAGAAATTGTATTGTCATCTATAAATCAGAGGATCTGTTCCAGTGTTTTGGGAATAAATAGGTATTCGTGCAATATCATAAATTACATAAACTACTGAATAAACAAAAATGGCTATTACAAAACATCTTATGAATTTAAAGAAGTATTTTGGATCTCTTTTATTAATTGATTTAATGGCTGTTGATAAACCAAATGAAGCAATCATAAGTTAAACTTATAAAGAGTAATTAAATTGTTTATTTATTTAGAATGATCAATATGATCAATCTACCTTAAATACAACATTAATAAATTGATTTTAAATAATATTGTAAAAACTATAAATTTGAAAAACTTAATCCATAAATTATTTAAAATAAAGACATTTTAATTTAATAATCTTATACTAAATTTTAGAATGGAAAATTAAGTAAGTATTATTTTAATACTTAAATTAGTGAATATTTAGAATGGAGTTGTAAGAACTAATTGTTTAGATTGTTTAGATAGAACTAATGTATTTTAAACAAAAATAGCATTTTTTATTACAAATCTTATATTAAATGATCTTGGTATTAATATTCCAAAGGAATTTAGATGTGAAACTATTTTAGATTTAGTAAATATATATTTATTAAATTATTAGTCAGATTAAGAAAAAGTGCATGATCTAATTAAATTGATTAAAATTTTATGGGGTGAAAGTGGAGACAATATTTCTAGACTCTATGCAGGTACAAATTCATCAACTACTAAAATCTAAAAGACTGGAGGTAGTAGTTGGACTGGTATAATAGAACATGGTTTAAAAGGTTTTCATAGGTAATTGTTTAATTTTATTTTAGATTTTATAATTAGAATGTTACAGATGAAGAGAAATAAAATATTTATTCATTTATAGTAGGAGAGAATTAACAATAAAATAAATAATTTTTAGGAATGGTTGAATAAATGTAATAACAATCACCTATTATTCATAAAAATTTATTGTTAATGGTTATAGGGTATGATGCTTAGAATTAGACAATCAAAGATTTCTTTCATTTAATTGATTCTAGATAGTAAAAATTAAATTATAATAATTATATAGAATACCATAATTCATAATAGTATTATTTTAAAACATCGTTAAAATATGTTAACCTTGCAATTATATCAAAGATTAAATGTAATCATCGATTAGAACTTAATTAGGATAATATGAATGTGCTTATGCTAGTTAAAATGTAATTATTATACTATTAGATTATAGGAAAATTAATATAGTTTTATATTTACTAAATAATGTATTTAAAATGCTGATTTTAAAGATTATATTTTAAAGTAAGATGATAAAGAATTAGGAATTGTTTAAACTTTTAATTATGAAGATTAACGATTTTAAATTATTAATTTAAATGTTAATTGTTAAGAATTATTAATGTATGAAAAAAAGATAATTGAAGGAATTAAAAATAAAAATATCAATTTTAACATATCAATTCTTGGTGGAATTTGTAATTCACAAATATTAATAGAGGAATCTATTGAAGATTTTTGTAGTAAGAATAAAAAAGATCCTATCTCTTTATTATTTTAAAAAGATTAATTATGTTAGTGTTTTGAAATATCTTAGTTGTTGAAAAACTACCAAGAACCCAATATAAGTTTTTTACCAAAAAATGGATCCAAAAGTTGGGCAAATAGAATCTTATATGGACCATTAGAATCATAGGATGCTTATAATATTTTAGCATATGAAGAATCAATAAGTAATGGTATTAGATTACTAATTACAATTGATTTTGAAATACTTGGTTTGAATAGTTAAAAAATTATAAATAATGAAGAGGAGGATGATGATATAAGATATTCATAATAATTCTACTAAGTTACAGAAGAAAATGATGATTTCGAAATAATTACATGATGGTTTGAGTCAAAAATAAATAAAAATATTATTTTTTGTATTCATGAAATTCTTATATTTCTATTTTATATATTTCTTTCCTTATTTCTAACTATACATATATTTCTAAATTTCTAAATCTCATTTTATGGTTTGATTTCTTAAATTGATTGTTGCATTATTAAAATGATTATATTAACTTTATTATTAGGTATATATGCATAAAACAATATAAATGAATTATTGTAGGAATGGGAAATTCATATTGAATAATCTTCAATTGAAAGTTAATATATATTCAAAGAGATCTTAAACTAATTTAAAGATGAAATACCAAAAAAATATCAATCTAAATTTTTTAGGATCTATGGACAATATATCTTTTATGGTTTAGAAAATGAAAATTCAATAGATTTTGCAAGAGTAACTTATTAATAGTTAGATTAGGCTCTTTATTATTTTAAGAAGTCTTCTGATCTAGGTGATATTAATTCTCAATTTTATATGTCTTTATTGACATATTTAAATTTAGATGGGTCATACAATATTTATAGTAATCTAAAAACAGAAACAAAACTATTTAGATATGTTAAAGAGAAATATTAAAGTATCTCTTTGATTGATCTTTATTTCTCTGCAATTTAAGGATTTCATTAAAGTAGTATTGCAATGGGTTATAGACATTTGAAGGGAATAGGAGTCAATTAGAATTGTTCAAATTCTGCTTCATTTTATTTGCCAGTATTAGAAGAATTCGCAAATTCACCAATCAAAGCAAAATATTTAAGTGAAAATAGATAAGTAGCCAAAGCTTTGTATGATAGTAATTTCTATATGAATCATGAATTGGACATATTTGGACATGCTCAAATATTTGAGAATTTGAATATGATCACTTATGATTCAGCTATTGAGGTTAAACAATTAGCATATAGTTTTTACTATGGATTAAATGGACTTAGAAGAAATTTTGTTAAGGCATATTAATTATATTACAAATTATATGATTAATTAAATGATAAAGAATCTGGTATTAAAGTAGCTTAGATGAATATTGAAAATTTGGGAATAGATAAACCAAATTATCAATTGGCTTTTGAAATTTTAAATACAATTGAAACATAAAACTAAGAATATTAAGGGAAAATTTAGAATGCATTAGGTTACATGTATTTTAAGGGATTGGGAATACAATAAGATATATTAAAAGCCTAAGATTGTTTTAGAAGTATTTTATAACAATTTAAAATATTTAGAAGCAGCAGACCTATAAAATAATGATGGTTAATTTAATCTGGGATCCTTATATATGTTACCTTCTACAATATAAAGAGAAAGAAATTAACAAAAAGGAGTTTAATTAATAGAATAGGCAGCTGTAACTGGACATGCAATGGCTTAATATAGTCTAGCATTAATATTACTAGATGGAGTAGATCTATTTTATTCATGTGATTTAGCTGCTACTTTATTACATGCTTCATCATCAAGAGGTCCTTGGGCTGATACACTAAAAACAGCTAATTATCTATTTTAATAAGAATAGTATGCTTAATCATTATCTAAATATTTTGAAGCAGGATATAATGGATTTGTTGTGGCTCTATGTAAATATATAGTATTTATTAATTTATAGAAAATGCTGCTATTGTAATGGAATAAAATGAAGCCTTTTATTATGATATTCTACACTTTAGTGATATTCAAAAAAGACTTAATAATGATCCTGTTTATCAAATTAGTAATATAGATAATAAAGATGCATTTACATATTTATATTAAGATTATTTATAATTTGTAAATTAATCAACTCTTTATGATTTATTACAATTAGATAGTTTTTAATTAAATGGAGTATTATAATATAGATTTCTTACATAATGTGCTAAAGAGAAGGAAGCTATTTGTCATATGAAATTAGGAGATTATTATTATTATGGAAAATATGATGAAATGGATTATAAAAAGTCATTTTAACACTATAAAAAAGCATTGGAAGGTCATTTAATTGATGCAATTAAAGCTCATGTTTAGTTTAATATAGGATTAATGTATGCTTTAGGTTAGGGTATTAATATGAATAGAACAAAATCAATAGAAATATTTGAATAATCAATTACAAGTTATTCACTAATTCCAATATTGCCAGTTAATGTTTAAGTTCAAATAATTGATTTTTTGGTTAACGTATATAAGTAAATAGATTAAAGTGGAATAGAATAGTATTTGGATGTGAATTATTTAGATTTTGCATTCAGATTAATTGATACAATTGAAGAATGTGTAATAGATAATTCTTAAGCAATTTTAAATGTTTCTGTGGGATCATTAATGGTGATTCTATTTGGATGGCGTTTGAAATTAATTAATTAATAAAACTGATATAAATGTATATATTAAAATTTAGACAATAATATTTCTTAAATATAAATGTCAGAACATCTGGAAGTGGCATAAATAGCAATAGTTATATTTTTTATCTTTATTGCTTTAACAATAGGAGGAATAGTAAGTGAAATCACAAAAAAGATTATGATTCCATATCCTGCTGCAGTTTTTCTGGTAGGTATATTAATTGGATCTCAATTTAATACTATTCATAATCATATATTACAAAGAACAGTTTAAGCAGCCTTTGATATAGATGCTAATTCTAATATGACATTGTTTTTACCAGCCTTAGTATTTAGTAGTGCTTTCAATGCAGATATTTATATTATGAAATAATAGATTATGCAAATATTTATGTTATCATTTCCTAGTTTACTCATTTCAGCATCTTTAATATGTTTAGGATTGAAATTATTATTAGAATATGATGATGAATATTATAGTTGGGGATTTGCATTTGTATTTGGAGTAGTAGTAACATGTACTGATACACTTCAGGTTGTAAAATTATTAAGTAACGCTGAAGCTCCAAAAAGATTCATATCTTTAGTTTAGGGTGAGAGTTTAATAAATAATTGTGCTTCAATGGTATTAATGTTAATAGCAGTTAATTGTGCAAGAGGAGATTGTGATCTACTTACAGTTGAATTATCATATGGAGTGTCATTACTTTTAGGAGGAGCATTTGTTGGTATAATGTTTGGATTATTTACTGTTTGGTGGATAAGAAGAGTAAATCATAATTCTATATTAACTATCAATCTAACAATAGTTTCTGCCTATGTAACATATTTTGTGGCTGAATCTGTAGATTTAGGTTTTACAAAGAATGGATTAGTTGCAGTCATATCTTTAGGATTATTTATGTCTGCCTTTTCAAAAATTAGAATAAGAACTGAAGTAGAACACCCATTATAAATCTTTTGGTAATATACTTAATTTGCTAATGAAACTATTATTTTTATTATTACAGGTGTCACATGTGGATACAAAATATTCAATCAACATAGTCCATATATAAGAAAACAAGATTACATTAATACTATATTGCTTTATTTATATATACTTTTATCAAAATTCATTAGTGTTTTTTTACTCTTACCAACAATCAATTTATATGGATAATAAGTCAAAATGAGTGAGGCTATATTATTTTCTTATAGTGGTACAAGAGGTGCTGTCTAATTGATGTTAGCTTTACTTGTAGTTAAAGAACCTTCTTTTAGTGATTAATGGAGTGATATTTTTTTATTTCATACTACTTTTATTGTTATATTAACTATGTTAATCAATGGATCAACAATACCTTTATATATCAAATATAGTGGATTATGTACTATTGCTTAGTATAGAGCAAAGGTGAGATTGAATTTTTTATAGGAAATGAAAGAGTAGATTGAATTTAAATTAAATCAAATGAAAGAGGATTATAAATATAAAAATATTGATTGGAATAAAGTTCAATATTTTTCTGGATTGGCTGATACAAATAAATAGATTCAATAAAAAGATGATAAACTAAGTAAGAAATAATTAGATGAGGAAAATAAAAGTAAAAGGGAGAAAGAATCTAGTATAATTGGACGTTTTTAAAAATTACTTAAAAGTAAAGGATTGTAAGATGATTTTAATGATGATGATATTGAAGCAGATGATATTATTGAAACAAGAGATAGATTTTTAATGGCATTGAAATAGACTTATTGGGATCTGTATTCATAGAATTAATGTGGTGGTAAGGCTTATAATTTATTAATTGAATCTGTAAGATGGGATTTAGATACTGTTGAAGGTAGAATGTGTTCTTGGGATTTTATTTATAATGTTTTCTATTCACCTATTTATATGAGATTTTTATATAATTTAAATAAATTTCCTATTATTCGTAGATACTCAGGTGATCTATTATTTGATTGGGTTGCTATTGGTTATGAAGTCATTTCTACATATGTTAGAGCACATGAAGGTATATATATATATATATTATTTAAAATAGAAATGGAAAACATGATAGAAGATTTTCCAATAAATTAAATTTTGAAAAAGAAATTGTCTAAAGAATCTAAAGAAAATAGAATAAATGCTGAAAATTTTATAGAAGGATATTTTTATGTTAGTTTTCCAGAAATCATTAAATTAATTCAAACAAAGAAATCTGCATAAGGTTGTTTAGCAAGTTAAGGAAAATATTTATTAAGAAAATATGAATTAGGAGAATTAGATGTAATAATTAAATATATAAATATATTTAGTTTTAATAATATTAAAAGTTAAAATTGTAATTAAATAATTTTGTATGTAATGTTGAAGACATAAGACCTATTTGGCCATAAATATCTATTCATAGTAAATTAAAAGTGCTCCCATTATTTAGTGAATTTAATGATGACTTACTTAAATAATTAGCATTACAATCAAGAGAACTGTTGTTTGATAAAGATGAATGTATTTATAGAGAAGGAGATTTGGCTAGATATTTCTATATCATAACAAGAGGAAGAGTAAATGAAACAAGTTCAGAGAATACAAACTATTCAATATCTAAAGATATTGGTTAATTTTTATCATGTCATCATATAGTATTGGAATCAACTTTATATATATCTTAAGCAGTTGCAGCATCATTGGTTGAAGTGATTCAAATAGAAATAGAATTGATGGTATCTCTTTATAAATAGAGTCTTTATATGCAAGATTTTATTTGGAGGGATAGTATATTCAGTTTAAGCAGATTCTATCCAAAATAGTTTTAGATTTTATCTCTTGTAGAGAGGGAGATTATTGAAAATGTCCTTACATTTGTTATTTTTAAGAAATATTAAGCCTATACTAATGTATCCTTTTAGGCAGCCATTTTATTGTAAGGAAGAATAATAGAGTAGAGATAAGAGAAGAAGATCAGAATAGAAGAGGATTAATTTGATGTTAATTGTAATGATGGTTAATAGGGTCCTTTGCTATTTCCATTTATTAATTAAACATATACTTATTAAACAGAGACAGTTTGTTCATTCTTTTTGTTTGATGAAACTAAGAAAGAAGAAATAATGAAATTGATATAGACAGAAAGATCATAAGAAAGAAGAAGAACTCGTCTTTAGACTGATCTACGTTTCAGTGTTTCTGGAGTGAATAAGTAAATATATATTTTTATATTATTTAGATAATCATTTGGATTTTCTTATCTTTTGAGACCTTCTAAAGTGAATTTAGACATAAATGATTCTAAACATTGATAAATTATATATATAATCATTAATTTGTTCTTTTTCTAAGTGCAATATTACAATTGCTTTTTAATGATATTTAAGTAATCTATTTTTTAATGATTCTATTTTATTTAATTTTATCATTTTCCATATTCAACTAGTATATAGATTATTTAAGTTATTCGATCTATTTATCTTTTTTGTCTAATTCCAATTTGTTTAACTTCTTTAGATTATTATATTTTTCCTATATGAAATCAAATTATTATTTTAACTACAATTGCTACTCCTTTATTTTAGACAATTCTAATATTGTTCTATGTTCTCTTTAATTGGCTTCCTGGAACTATTATCTCAAACTATGAAGTAAAGCTTTAAATGTAAATTTAATCTACTCATACAATCTCTAGAGTTTATCAATTCTCTTTAATGTTTCATTAAATCTAATTCATCTTATATTTTTTATATCTCTATATTTAAATTCTTTATCTATTCATTATAATCTTCTTTCAAATCTATTTTTCTTTCTAATTGCTTTTATAAATTTTAGTATTCCATTTAAGAAACTAAAAAACAGTGAAAAAAAGAAACTTACTCAGAACAACATTCTCAGATTCTGTCTCTTCATTTTCTTCTGTATATTTCAGTTATCCTGATCCAAAAAGTTAAATAATTTGATCAGATGAGAGATACACTTATTTCATAATAATATCAATATAAAGTATTCATATTAATTCTTTGTTCGAATTTCAATTTCTATGCATCCTCCTTTTAATCCTAAGGAATTGAAAACACATATTGCTAATTTATTTTATTCTTCTGATTTCCAACCTTCTGAATCCATATTAAATTCTTTATTTCTTGATTCTTTATATCTCTAAATAATTTCAATACTGTTATCAAAGATAAGAACTATAATGTTGATGATGCATATAAATATGCTAACACTCCAATAGGATCTCTAATTAAATCTGTGACTAATACAGCTATACTCAATCCTCCAAATAGAATTTCCAATAATATACCAAAATAAACTAATAATTAGATTTTAAATAATATTTTTCTATCAATTGCTAAATTAGAAGATTTCAAATTAAATTTCTCTTGATCTTCATCAGATTATTAATAAATTGAAGTTCTGTTATCTTATTAACTACTACCTAAATAACTCTATTTTTTCTAATCATTTCTCTCCCTATATCTTTAAAATTATAATTATTATTGTAAGGATTCCTTTCTTTTTTCAGCTGTTTCTTTAGTTTCTTTAACTGCTTTTATTTACATTTTTACTGTATCTTAATAAGCTTATCTATCCTCTCCATTCTCCCATTATATTGAATTAGATTAATTCTCATTCAAACAACAACTATTAATTCCTTCATCAGCAGGATCCTCTTGAAATTAATTATCTAAATCCTTTGCAGATTTATCACTATTTTAATCTTAATTTTATTGATTGCATTTATTTGTTTTCAATTATTTCTAACTCTCCTATCTAAAAAATGATGATCCTCTAAGTCCTTTGACAAATGTTCTTGCAAATGATACAGATTTTATTTTAGTTTATCCTATTTTTATTTTAGGTTCCTCCAACTATTTCACCTCATCCTATATCTCATTCTTCTATTCTTCAATACTCACTTATTTAGACATTTTAACTACTCTTTAAACAGATTCAGGAGACTTACTAAAACTCTCATCCTTTTACATCTATTATTATTGAATTGCTTATTCCATTCCTAAATATTACATTCTAAACTATTATCTACATATTATAATCTAATCCTTTATACAAGTTTACAATGAAGATCCATATATTATAAATTCTATTATAAATAAAAAGAAATTAGCCATCAAAAATATGTAACATATCATCAAAAAGATAGGATACTGTACTCCTTTCCTAAAACCTTACATTATTATTTAATTTACCATTTAATGTACTTACTGTTATCTAAACCAACAGTACTATAAACAATCTTAATTTCATTGTCTCCTTATAATATGTAAATATCCATTTCCTTGCCTTTTTTTCTTCTCCTTAATAGATATTATATGAAATCTCATCATACATTGTATACCACACAATCAATAAGCAACCATATATATAGAACAATATCGTATATACTATTTCTGCTAGTAGCCTTTCTATGACTATAGTATTTCCTCTCTATAAGCTTTATGACTAAATTAAGTTACATAGACTTCAAAAGGATCCAGAATCAGCCAAATTAATTTACATATTGATAATACTATTGTCAATACTAGTATATAGTTCTGAGGGGATCCAATTAGTGCATATGCATATTAATAGCAACTAATATATTATTACATCAAATTACGTATAATAATTTGGGATTCTTTAGGTCTTTAAAGAAGTTTAAAATTGTCTTATAGTTATGAATAATATCAAAAAGAATGCAACACAATAGATCCCAATAAAGGTATAATATGGGGCAACATAAATGTCTTACAAATTATGATAACAATCATCTCCAAATGATCCTATGTCACACTTACATTTGTCTTCAATCATAATACCTTTGTCACAACATTCCACTTCACAATTCTCCTATCTCATGTAATTGTATTAAAATGAATGAAAAATATAAATTTTGTTAGTAAATTTATTTTCAAATATTTCACAACTTACATTTCTTTTTTTTAATTCATTTTCTATTTATCTATTATATTTATTCACTACTTCTCATCTTACCAGAACTTTCTTCTTATTTCTCATATTGATTTTGTTAGAATACTCTAAGACCCTTTAAATTTAAATTCATTAATTTTATATTCAATAAATCATGAAATTTCTCTTGATCTTATTTTATAATACTGATATTTGGTTAATTAAGTAATCATTAAAGATAGAATTTTCTATAATTCAATTATTACTTATATATTTGTTGATATAATACATATAATTTATATCAACTAACATATTAAGGCAAATATATAATTTGNTATTACATTCTAAACTATTATCTACATATTATAATCTAATCCTTTATACAAGTTTACAATGAAGATCCATATATTATAAATTCTATTATAAATAAAAAGAAATTAGCCATCAAAAATATGTAACATATCATCAAAAAGATAGGATACTGTACTCCTTTCCTAAAACCTTACATTATTATTTAATTTACCATTTAATGTACTTACTGTTATCTAAACCAACAGTACTATAAACAATCTTAATTTCATTGTCTCCTTATAATATGTAAATATCCATTTCCTTGCCTTTTTTTCTTCTCCTTAATAGATATTATATGAAATCTCATCATACATTGTATACCACACAATCAATAAGCAACCATATATATAGAACAATATCGTATATACTATTTCTGCTAGTAGCCTTTCTATGACTATAGTATTTCCTCTCTATAAGCTTTATGACTAAATTAAGTTACATAGACTTCAAAAGGATCCAGAATCAGCCAAATTAATTTACATATTGATAATACTATTGTCAATACTAGTATATAGTTCTGAGGGGATCCAATTAGTGCATATGCATATTAATAGCAACTAATATATTATTACATCAAATTACGTATAATAATTTGGGATTCTTTAGGTCTTTAAAGAAGTTTAAAATTGTCTTATAGTTATGAATAATATCAAAAAGAATGCAACACAATAGATCCCAATAAAGGTATAATATGGGGCAACATAAATGTCTTACAAATTATGATAACAATCATCTCCAAATGATCCTATGTCACACTTACATTTGTCTTCAATCATAATACCTTTGTCACAACATTCCACTTCACAATTCTCCTATCTCATGTAATTGTATTAAAATGAATGAAAAATATAAATTTTGTTAGTAAATTTATTTTCAAATATTTCACAACTTACATTTCTTTTTTTTAATTCATTTTCTATTTATCTATTATATTTATTCACTACTTCTCATCTTACCAGAACTTTCTTCTTATTTCTCATATTGATTTTGTTAGAATACTCTAAGACCCTTTAAATTTAAATTCATTAATTTTATATTCAATAAATCATGAAATTTCTCTTGATCTTATTTTATAATACTGATATTTGGTTAATTAAGTAATCATTAAAGATAGAATTTTCTATAATTCAATTATTACTTATATATTTGTTGATATAATACATATAATTTATATCAACTAACATATTAAGGCAAATATATAATTTGATAATAATTGATGTATATAATATAATTTTAATAATAGTATGAATGATAATATTATATAAAAGTTAAAAGAGCAACATGAATTGGAAAAGTAATAAATGATAAAAGAATTTTTGAAGAGAATAGATTTATTATTATAAAGTAATGTTTAAAAGTATCCTGAAACTGAAAATTGGAAAGAATTAATATTAAAATATGAAAAGCAAAGATAAAATGAATTATATGAATTAAGATAACATTTAGAAGTATTATAGAGATCATAAATCAATACAAAAGATATTGAATTCTATGCAGAAAGAAGAGCTTATGAAAATAAGATTAATGAATTATAAAATAAACTATAACAAGATGATGTTTAGGATTTATATGATACAATAGAATATTAAAGAAATGTCATTCTAGATTTAGAAGATTAGATTGCTCTATTGTAGAATGAAAGATTATAAATGGATTAACATATTTAACAATTGAATTAGACTATAGAAATTCTGAGAGACAATTTATCAAGGAATCAATAACAATAAGATACAAGAAGAAAATAAAAAGCTGAAGTGATGGAGGCTATTGATGAGATGAAAAGAGAAAGAGAAAAAGAGAGAGAAAGAGATACAGATGGATATAGAGATTTAGATTCTTTTAGGTCTCCCCAACGACCATATCGATATAGTCACAAGAGCTCATAAGAACGGTAAAATAAAGATTGGAGATTTTCAAATTAACAAATACCATCTCCAAGACCTCCTGTAAGTACAATTCATTATCAGTCTCAGCCAGTTTTATCCTATCAATAGGAAAATAAGGAAATTGTCTTTAAGTTGTAAGAAATTAATGAAATTAAATACAAATATTAAACTGCACTTAATAATATACTTAAATTGGAAGCTTAAGTAATTGAAAAATTATAATAAGATGACATAATAGTGGAGTGATTAATTTTAATTTTATTATTTATGCAAATAAATTTATTAATCATATTTTATTTTGTGATTTATCCATAATATATTATCATAATAATCATCATAATTAATCTTCTCTAATTAAAGTTTCTTTTCTCCTTTATGAGATCTAAAAGTATTAAATATTGAATAAAATATTCATCATATCTATTTTGATTGAAAAAAAAAAGTAATTGTTAAGCTTAATTTTATTATTCAGCATTTCCCCTTTTTAAGATAAATATAATAATTTTATTAAGTTAATTATTCTTTATGAATCTCTAAAAAAGATAAATTCAGCTTTATTTTGTTAATAAATCTTTTCAACTATTCAAAATTTCTGTTTTATTTTTTAAATAACAAACACTTTAAACTCTTAATGAATTTCTTCAGTATATTCTAACTTATTAAAGTACTTCATTCTACTCTTATAATTTATATCTTAACAATTAATGAATTTATTCTATATTAATTTGAATATACATTTATGATTTACTACTAGTTATTCAAATTTAAATATAATCATTTTTAAGTTTTACATCTTTAAATTCAAATTTCAAGTATTTCTTTCTATTAATACTAAATTTAATCCTATAATTTAGTTAGTATAATCAGGCTTTTATTGTATGTAAAACCTCATTGCATTATATGATTTAGAGATGTTGGAGCTTATCTATTTTCAGATATAAGAAGTTAGTTAAAATATTTGATATTATAAATAAAATTATTCGTTAATGTCCCTTTTGTATGCAAACGAGCAATAATCATTAAGAGAACAGATTTTCAAAATTAAGGATAAATTGTTATCTTTATCTTAAGACTTAAGCAACTATCATGCAGATATCTAAGAATCAAATAGTACTGCTCATTTTAGGACTCAAGATGATGAACAATCTCCTTAATAAATAAATCATGAAAATGAAGAAAAGTGTATCATAACATGATAATTAGCATTTTCATAATTGAATTTTGTTGATAAAAATAAATAAGTATCAAACTAATGTCATCAATTCAAAAAACTCAAGCCTCTTTTTAAAGTTCCAGATAGATCCATAAAAATTGACCCATTGATCAAGAGTTCAATTAAGAAGCAACCCCCCTTAGAATAAATTAGAGTTTATTCTTCTGGAAGACCACCTTAGATTTTAAGATACAGTTTATAAAGAGAAGCAAGGATATATTTGATGTCACCTCATAGAATGAACTTTTCTTAACGAATTTCATTTTCCCCTGCCAGAAGACTTTGATTTTATTTTTACTTTCTATATATCCTAATAAAACTAATTTACATTTGTATATAAAAGTTACAATATAATAATTTATGATCATAATGAATATACATAGATTTTTAAATTTGAAATAGAGTAATATAAGAGAGATTGAATATTTTTAAATCGATGATTGATTTGATTTTTGTGACATTAATATTTAAAAAATTAATGCAACTTAAATATTCCTGTAATATTATGCCTGCTTTAGATGGCATGTAAAAAGTGAGTGGATTAGCATGGTCATACAACGGGCAAAAACTTGGAGTATGTACAGCTGATAGGGTAAGAGATGCTGATATAAAATTAGAAAATATTATTATTTAATGATTAATTGGGTAAAGAGGACAATTTCCCTACAAAGCCATCAGACAAGACACAATAAAAATCTTATGTTGTGAGAGCTATTGAATTTTCTCCAGATTCAACTAAAATAGCTGTTGCTCAATCTGATAATATAGTGTATGTATATAAGATTGGTGCAAAATTTAAAGAGAAAAAAACTATCTGTAATAAATTCCCAGCCTCTTCTTCAATAACAACATTAATATGGCCAGCATAAAGAGAAAATGATATCATATTTGGATTAGCAGAGGGAAAGGTGAAGATTGGATTTTTGAAAAATAATAAAGTAATTAATTGTCATAATGTTATTAGTCTCAAATAGCATTCACAACAGAATCCTATGTTGTAAGTATGGCAACTAATAGGGATGGAGATGTAGTTGTATCAGGCCATCTTGATGGATCAGTATACAGTTACAATTTAGACACTTAATAATCATAAAAGTTAGTGGTACATCATTCTATACCATATGCTTTGGCTTATGGTTAACATGTGGCAGCAGCTGGTAATGATCAAAAAGTGTCATTTTATGATAATTATGGTAATCTAGTTTAAAGATTTGATTACACTTAAGATGAAAGATGTAAAGACTTTTCAGTAGGTGCTTGTAGTCCTAATGGAGATATTATAGTATTAGGTAATTTTAATAGATTTTATCTTTATACATATAATCAAAAGAGATCATAATGGGAAGAAATAGGAGTAAAACATATAGAGAATTATTATACAATTACAGCATTATGTTGGAAGAATGACTCATCAAAATTAATAACTGGTTCATTATGTGGTTCTGTTGATGCATGGGATATTTCAATGAAAAAGATTAGATTTAAAGGAAAATATGATTTGAATTATATTGGTCCATCTTAAATTGTCATTTAAGTTTTATCAACAAATTAATAAGCAGTTATTAGATCATCTTAGGCTGAAATATCAAAGATTGATATAAAAAAAGAGAGATTTGTAGTTGCTAAAACACATGAAACATTAATTGTAGGAGATTTAGCTACTGGTAAGACATCAGAAGTAAGTTGGAGAGGAAGTGGAAATGAAAAGTTTGATTTTACAAATGAAAATATTTGTATGGTATTTAATGCAGGTGAATTAACTTTAATTGAATATGGAAGTGATCGTATATTAGGTACATGTAGAACTGAACATATGAAAAATTCACTTATTAGTGCTAAAGTTAGTTATACTGGTTAGAATAAAACTAAAGTTATTGCCTTTTTATTAGATTTATAAACACTTTAAATATAAGATTTAACAACTAAAAGTATTATTGCTACAATTGCTCATGATACTAAAATAGATTTTTTAGAATTGAATTCTCATGCAAATAGATTAATATTTAGAGATAAAAGAAGATAATTGTATTTATATTCAATAAAAAATGCATTTAAACATACTCTATTATCATTTTGTAATTATGCTTAATGGGTACCAGAAAGTGAAGTTATTGTTGCTTAAAATAGAAATAATTTGTGTGTTTGGTATTCTATTGAAAATCCTGATAAAGTTACACTTTATACAATAAAAGGTGATGTAGAAGAAATTGAAAGAATTCCAAGTACACCTACTTAAGCTGGTTCTACTTCTGTTATTGTGAGTGAAGGTTAAAGCAAAGTTGCATATAAATTGGATTAAGCATTAATTGAATTTGGATTTGCAATTGAAGGAAGAGATCTTGAAAAGGCAGCCTCAATTTTAGATAAATTAGAATTGACATCTGATACTGAAGCAAATTGGAAAGTTTTAGCATAATTATCTTTGGAAGAATAAAATTTATCTGTATCAGAACATTGTTATGCTGCTTTAGGAGATGTTGCTAGAGCATCTTATTTGAGAGGTATTAATAGACTTATATCAAAATATTATGAAGAAACTGGTAAGAAGGATGGAATATCTTATTATAAAGTTTAATCTAAATTGGCTATTTTAGATAAATAATTTAATAAAGCTGAAGAATTATTACTTAATCATAATGAAGTAAATGAGGCTATGGGAATGTATTAAGATTTACATAAATGGGATGATGCTATTAAAATTGCTGAAAAGAGAGGTCATGAA